ACTGTCAACTTATACATATGATGTATGTAGAAGTTGTAGGCTAGCCTAGGTGTGAGCTTCTAGTGAGTACGTATATGTTCTAGGTTTCTCACACTAGTCAATCATTCTTGCATTTTATCATGGTATCACTAGCGCCCGCCCGGCCCCTCTCTCCAAGCGCCCGCCCGGCCCGTCCTTGCCGCGTCCCCCTTCCCCGGTGTCTCCGCCCCCCCTGTCGCAGTCGCCGCCGCCGCCGCCGCCATCGCAGCCGCCGCCGTCGCCGCCACTGTCGCCGCCGCCGCCGCTGCCGCGCTTGGCCTCTAGGGGTGCTGGCGTTGAGGAGGGTGTTCGTCCTGCGGTTCTGGCGTGGTCTGTCCCGGCGGGACTCGGGGTGCCGCTGGTGCTGGAGGGGGTTCTCGCTCTAAGGATGTTGGTTCTGGGGGTGCTGCCATTGAGTGTTCTCCCGGCGGTCGTCGTGCCTCTGCCGGTCCGCGGGTCGAGCACCAGTCGCAGCAGCAGCCGCCGCAGCCGTCGCCGCCGGTCTCCGCTCTTTGCCTGCTCGGCCTTTCCTCCTCTGACCGCTCGCCGGTATCTCCCCCACCACCTTCTCACCTTCCTGTCTACGGCCCTGTGTTCCCGCCGCCGGACTCGTCTCCGGCCCGTCTTCCTCCGCGTTCCTCGTTTGTGTCTCCTCCGCTGCCTCCTGACCCTACACCTCTGTCCCACGTCTGGTCTCGCGGTCCCTCCCGTGCTCGTCCCGTCTGTCCTGTCCCGCGCTCCCACCCTTTGTTGCTCCGTTCCCACTCATCTCGTCCTCCCCTCCTCCCGTCACCTCCTCCCTCGTCGCTTGTTGTCGCCCCTCCCCCGCTGTCTGACTACCTTCGTGCCACTCGTCCCCTTGTCCCTCGGGTTCTTGCCTCTCTTGTTACCGACCCGTCTGTTCCTGTCTCGCGTCTTGACGCGCTTGTCGCTGCTGTCGCTGACTTCGCCTCTACCTGCCGCCTTGACTACGCTACCGCTCTGGTCCCTGACCCTGCCCGTCCTCTGTCCGTCAGGGGTGCTCCTGCCCTTAGCACTGACGTCCTGGAGGACCGCCAGTACGAGCTTGCTTTCCTGTCCGAGGCTGCTCCCCATCTCTGTTCCATGCTGCTAGTCCCTGAGGTGACCCCGACGCTTTCGACATCCCGACCCCTCGCACTTACAGTGACGGAAAAAACTGTCCGGATGTTTGGCATTAATTAGGTTTTTTAGGCTTTTCGACCACGGTACATAATGTCTTAATGTTTAATGGTGGTACGCTTTTGGAAGGGCACATAGTGGATGTGTTCACAGCACTTACGTCCATAGTAGTACACTGCATCTAACTTAGTGCCAAAAGTTATACAAGGGGGTCATCCGGACAGTTTTTTCCCGGGACAAAGCGTAAACTTTCGAACAGGTTTCTAGTACCTAGTACACCGACCCTTGGCCTTGATCACCACCCGCACCCTCCTAGGCATGTTATCTACGAGGTTAGTGCAAACCGTTGCAGAGATCTTCTCACACTCTTCCTGGACCCTCCCTTTTGCATAAGGGGGTGAGCACTAGGAAAACAGCGAGGGATTTGAGTGTCTGCAAGTTTTTTTTGCACGATTTCTGTTTGAATGTTATGTATAAGACTAGCCACAATGAGGTATGACCAGAGATGCCATTAGCCGATTAGTTCCATCTTATCATGGGTCGTCTTCGTCGTACCGCTGTAGGGTAAAACCACGAACAGAGCGGCAAAAAATAGTGTATATGCCATGAAACTGAGGGTGACGTAGCACGGTTGATTATTCATCCTTGCACTATTAGAATCACGCTAGGATCTGCATGTCTCATCACGGTGCAGCAGTCGAACAAGTTGCGACTGTTCGGGAAGAATATCCAGGTTGAGGTCTGGTAAAGAAAAGGGTCACTCCAGTGCAACATACTTAAGCTCCCCAATGCTCTCCAAGCCATTTGTACCACATAGGCTTGGAATAGAATTGGAGAGCATCAGTTTGTAGCACTTGAGTGGCCCTTTTCTTCACCTGACCTCAACTTGGATATTCTTCCACTACAGTCGCAACTTCTTCGAATGCTACACCGTGATGAGACATGCAGATCCTAGCGTGATTCTAATAGTGCAAGGATGAATAATCAACCGTGCTACGTCACCCTCAGTTTCATGGCATATACACTATTTTTTGCCGCTCTGTTCGTGGTTTTACCCTACAGCGGTACGACGAAGACGACCCATGATAAGATGGAACTAATCGGCTAATGGCATCTTTGGTCATACCTCATTGTGGCTAGTCTTATACATAACATTCAAACAGAAATCGTGCAAAAAAAACTTGCAGACACTCAAATCCCTCGCTGTTTTCCTAGTGCTCACCCCCTTATGCAAAAGGGAGGGTCCAGGAAGAGTGTGAGAAGATCTCTGCAACGGTTTGCACTAACCTCGTAGATAACATGCCTAGGAGGGTGCGGGTGGTGATCAAGGCCAAGGGTCGGTGTACTAGGTACTAGAAACCTGTTCGAAAGTTTACGCTTTGTCCCGGGAAAAAACTGTCCGGATGACCCCCTTGTATAACTTTTGGCACTAAGTTAGATGCAGTGTACTACTATGGACGTAAGTGCTGTGAACACATCCACTATGTGCCCTTCCAAAAGCGTACCACCATTAAACATTAAGACATTATGTACTGTGGTCGAAAAGCCTAAAAAACCTAATTAATGCCAAACATCCGGACAGTTTTTTCCGTCACTGTACGCTGAGGCGGTCTCGGGACCTTGGGCCTCTCAGTGGATAGCTGCCATGGAGCAGGAGATGGCATCTTGGAGATCCACCGGCACCTACGTCGACGCAGTTCCTCCACCTTGGGTGAACGTAGTCGACGGCCGCTGGCTCTTCAAGGTGAAGCGCCCTCCTGGAGAGCCGCTTGTGTTCAAGGCGCGCTATGTGGCTAGAGGCTTCAGTCAGCGTGAGGGGGTGGACTTCTTTCAGACTTTCGCTCCGACCCCGAAGATGACTACTCTTCGGGTGCCGCTACACGTAGCAGCTAAGCTTGACTACGAGCTTCACTCCCTCGAATTCTCCACTGCGTTTCTTCAAGGCTGTCTACACGAGCAGATCTACCTGCGCCGCCCTCAGGGTTTCACTGGTACCTTCCCTCCTAGGACCCAGTGGCTCCTGCGGCGCCCCGTCTACGGCCTGCGTCAGGCTCCCCGTGAGTGGCACGACACGCTGCGTGCTACCCTTGCTGACCTGCAGTTCTTTCCGTCTTCCGCAGACCCCTAACTCTTCGTTCGTGCTGGCCAGACTCCGTTCTACATCCTTGTTTACGTCGACGACCTGGTCTTTGCCACAGCAGACAGGGACGCACTGGCCTCAGTGAAGGCAGAGCTGCTGAAGAGAGACACGTGCACTGACCTTGGAGAACTGCGCCGTTACCTTGGCTTGCAGATCTCCAGGGACAGAGCATCACGCACCATCACCCTGACTCAGTCACACTTGGTGCGCCAGGTCCTTCAGAGGTTCGGCCTTCAGTTCTCCTCTGCACAGCCCACCCCTCTGCCTGTAGACCACAGACTCTCCGCTCCAGTTTCTGAGGAGTCGGTAGAGCCCAGCAGCCCCTACGCAGAGCTGGTGGGTTGCCTCATGTACCTGATGACTTGCACTCGCCCAGATCTCGCATACCCTCTCAGCATCCTGGCTCGCTTTGTGGCCACAGGCAGACACCGACCGCAGCACTGGTCTGCCGCTAAAAGGGTTTTGCGTTATCTTGCTAGTACATCGGGCATGGGGTTAGTGCTAGGAGGACGTGGGCCAATGGTCCTTACTGGACACACAGACGCTTTGTGGGCAGACGACGCCGAGACACTCAGGTCTACCCAGGGCTACTGCTTCAGCCTTGGTTCAGGTGCCGTCTCGTGGAGAGCTACCCGCTCCTCGTCTGTTGCCCAGTCCAGCTGTGAGGCCGAGATCTACGCCGGTGCCATGGCGGCACAGGAGCTCCGCTTGCTGACCTTCTTGCTCACTGACTTTGGTGAGCGGCCTAGCTCTGCCCCGGTTCTGTACGCTGACAACAGAGCCGTGATCCTCCTGTGTCAGGAGCCTCGACTCGAGGGCAGAGCGAAGCACATCCAGCTGCGGTAATTCCTCTTGCGCGAGCTACAGCAGCGTCGCCAGGCCCGCGTAGTTCACTGGGCCTCCGGTGCACACACAGCTGATATCTTTACGAAGGCGCTTGCGCCTAAAGATCATCAGCGGCATTGTGTGCAGCTTGGTCTTGTTCCTATAGCTGCTCACTTGTTAGGACCCTGATTGTGTACTCTTTACTATATATACCTGTCAGACTGGCCTTGTGGCCTTGCCTCCAGTGGTTGGACTAGTAGTGCTGCCCTGGTTTGCTTTTGTCTTGTTTGTACTCTTGCTGACTGGTCTCCAGACCGCAGTCTCAGTGGTTGGACTAGTAGTGCCACCCTGAGCTGTGTGCTTCTTGCTTAGCATCACCCGTTCTCTAGCCTAGGGGGGTGTGTCTACTTATATATATGATGTATGTAGAAGTTATAGGCTAGCCTAGGTGTGTGCTTTAGTGAGTACAACCCCAACAGGTATATGTTCTAGGTTTCTCACACTAGTCAATCATTCTTGCATTTTATCACTTACCACTGGGAACACGGGTAACAAAGACGCCCATGCCATCATGAGTAGTGTTGCAGGTGGTAGCCACAACATCATAAGCCATGCCCATGACTTATTGGGTCACACCGCGGGTGCGGCCGTGCAGAACCCTGCAGCGAAATTCACAAGGACTGAAAGTGCGGGACTTGAAGGGGCCGGGGCTGGGGATTGGGAGGATGAGTTGCTTATGGAGGCAGCTGCATGGGTGGCGGAGCAGGGAGGGCTGGGGACGCTGGACTGGCTGCCCGCCAGGCAGGCTGATGCTCAGGCTGATATAAAAATATCTGAATATGGATAATGATAGTTTGCAAGCGTGATGTGCATCATATGAATATAATACATATTATGTTACAACAGCTCGATAATCCTTCCTGTCATTAGTCAATGGAGTTGAAAGTATTTGAAACCCCCCCCGGTCAAGGCTAACCCCCCGGTTCATGTTAGAACTTAGAACATTAGTCAAAGCTAACTGGCAACTCTACTCTACCATGACTAATCAGTAGGTTAGTCTCCCCATTACTTAGTGCCATCCACATTAATCTCCCCGTCCAGCACAGCTTTAATCGCGCGCACGAGCTGGTCGACGCGGAAGGGCTTGGTGGCGTAGCCGTCCATACCCGCCTCGAAGCACTGCTCCTTGTACCCCGCCATCGCATGCGCCGTCAGCCCCACTATCCCTATCCTCCCCCCCCCTCCCCCTGCCCCCCCCTCTTGGCCCTTGGACCTTCGCCTTCTGGACGCTTCCAGCTGTCGGATTCGGCGAGTGGCTTCCAGCCCATCCATCACAGGCATCTGGTGGGGCAAGGCGGGGAGGTGTGGGGTGGGGTGGGGTGGGAAGGGAGGGGGGGAGATGATGGGTCTGAGCAGTAAGAGCAAGCGCATCATGGGAAGCAGGTGAGAGCAAGTACAGCTCTCGGATGCAGCGAGTGGCCTCCAGCCCATCCGCCAATGGCATCAGGTGTCTTTAAAGGCGTGTCCTAAGAGTACGTATCGCTTCTTTGCCACAGTCCAGTTACCAGGTAACCAGGCGTACCTGCAGCCGAAATCATCTAGATGGACGACGGACCTATCTATCTGCGACGCCCACGATACGCTTTGTAGATGTCGCGGGGACTGTACCCAGCACGTTTCGAGGTACTCCCTGGGAAACACATCACATCCACCAACGTGGGATACCAGACCCGGATAATCGCTAACTGATTTCGTGAGTAGCATGTGAGGAAAACCAGCTGGGACCACATTTCTGCGACGTGGAGGCTCCAGTTGTTTGGCGAGTTGTTGGGCAAGACGGGTCACAGGTCCCCACTTCGCATGTGCTGCACCCAGGTTCCCTTCCATTTGCGTGCGGATCGTGCTCGTGCGGATCGTGCTCGTGCGGATCGTGCTCGTGCGGATCGTGCTCATGCGGATCGTGCTCGTGCAGATCGTGCTCATGCGGATCGTGCTCGTGCGGATCGTGCTCGTGCGGATCATGCTCGTGCGGATCGTGCTCGTGCGGATCGTGCTCTAAGGATTGTGCTCGTGCGGATCGTGTTCGTGCGGATCGTGTTCGTGCGGATCGTGCTCTTGCGGATCATGCTCGTGCGGATCGTGCTCGTGCGGATCGTGTTCGTGCGGATCGAGTTTGTGCGGATCGTGTTCGTGCTGGGACAAATTCGCGGGTTTGGCACTTTTCGCCTTCATGGACCTGGCCGACTTGTTCACGCGTTAGAGTTTCATTTTGGACCTGTTTGCGTAGACCGTTAAATTCGTACGTACTCTTAGGACACGCCTTCAGAGGGGAGGGAGTGGGGGCAAGGGAGTGGGAGCAAGGGAGTGGGGGCAAGGGAGTGGGAGCAAGGGAGTGGGGGCAAGGGAGTGGGGGAAAGGGAGTGGGGGCAAGGGAGTGGGAGCAAGGGAGTGGAGGGGGGGCATGTGGTAAAATGTTACGAGGGGTGCTGAAGGGAGCGGTTGAGTGAGGAGGGAGATGAGGTGCCCCTGCGCCCTGCTGACCGTGCTGCTTGGGACAACGCATGCATGACAGCCCACTAGCTCACTCACACACACACACACAACCCACCTGGATGTCCATGAGAATGAGGTCGAACGACGCCGCCTGTTCCTCCACAGCAGTGAGAGCAAGCTGCCCATTTCCCACGACCTCGACCAGCGCTCCCTGCTTGGAGAGGCTGTGCATGGCCACACGCTGATTCACCAGGTTGTCCTCTGCCAGCAGAATGCGCAGCCCTGAGAGAGCAGCAGACGGGGTGCTTTTCCGCCCTGCTGCTCCTGCTGCTCCTGTTGTTGCTCCTGCTGCTCCTGTTGTTGCTGCGGTTGTGAGTTTGCCCATGGATGTGACTCGAACAGAGGCGGAGGAGGAGGAGGACGGGGCGGATGCAACAGCAGCAACAGCAGTGTCCGGATCATGGGTGCTTGTCCTGCTGCTGCTGCTGTGTCGGTTGCTGCCGGTCCTACCACCTATGGCCGCCGATGTTGCAGGAGGGCTGGTGACTACCTGCTGTTGCTGCTGCTGCTGGTGATGGTGACGATGACCGTGATGCTTTCTCTGCTGCTTCTGTGTGTCGTGCTGCTGTGAGCTGTTACTCGCTTGCACTCCTGTATCAGCAGCACCACCATTGCCAGCAACACCACTGCCCTCTCCGCCACCCTGCCCAAGCACAATGGGTGACAGGCTCATGCTGCTGCTCCTGCTGCCTGCCCCTCTCCCACTCACAGGCGTGTTTGGGGTGCTCGTTTGAGGCGCGTCAGAGATGCTACTGCTCCTGCTCTCCATTCCGCCATGGCTGCTCATGGGCGTGCTTGGAGTGGTTCCCCGTGACCCAGCAGGGGTGGCGGGTGATTTCAGGGCTGCTCTGAAAGCAGTGGTGCCGGCAGGCGTTCTGGGAGTGGCCCCTTCGACAGGGGTGTTGGCAGCACTGGTGGCAGGGGTGGTGCCATCCACAGGGGTGAGCGCAGTGGGGGTGGTGGATGTGGAAGAGGTAGCAAAAGAGTGGAAGTAGGAGGCGGATCCAGTGGTGGTGGGCGTCCAAACGTCAGAGCCAAACGTGCGGGAGGAATCGAGAGTACGGGAGGAGTCGAGAGTGCGGGAGGCGTCGATCCAGGGGCCACTGAAACCCAACCCGCCACCACCACAGCCGCCACCGCCACCGCCACCGCTGCTGCTGCTCTCACTGCTCCTCCTGCTCCCACTCGCCGTCCGTCCCTTCTCCACCCGACTCGCCTCTCTCACAGGGCCCACACCCTCCTCCGCTTCTCTGTCTTGAGTCTGTAGTGACAATTCCGACCACCCGGATCTCAAGCCAGGGCCACTCACAGCTGTGGACCGAGCAGCCAAGGCCATGGCAGCAGCAGAAGCAGAGGCAGTGGTGGCAGGAGCAGCAGGGATAGAAGCATCAGAAGGAGTAGAGAGAGGGAGTTGAGAGGGGATAGTAGGTGCCATGGGCATAGGAAGTGGGGGCGGGGTGGAGCTGGGAATGAAGGAAGGGGAGGCGAGGCAGGGCTGATGGGAAAGGGGCAGGTCAAGTGGCGAAGGGAGGGCCAGGCGGGGGAGGGGATTGTGGGGTGGGTGGTGGGAGATGAGAGCAGGAGGGAGGAGGGGGAAGAGAGTGGCAGGGTGGTTGGGGTCTGTTGGCGAGAGTGCGATGTTCCATGGATTCGAATTTGGCTGCGATGCCTGCTGCTGCTTCTCCTGCCCCTGCCCCTGTCCCTGCCCCTGCTGCTGCTGCTGCTGCTGCTGCTGCTGCTTCAATGCTGTTGGCGCATCATCAGCTTCCATGCCCACATCAGAATCTTGCAGCAAGGCCATTCCCACACCATTTCTTGCACCCTCCACCTTCTCCTCCCGCCTCTCCCTGTTGCCAGCCTCTTGCCCTGTCCGTTCTCCTTCCTCTCCCCCTTCCACCTTTCCTCCCACAACCCCTTCCCCTTCCCTTTCTCCCCCCCCTACCTCTTCCCCTCCCATGACGTCGTCCCCTTCTCTTTCCCTCTGCGACCCTTCCCCCTCCCGCTCCCCTTCCCTCACTCGACTCAGCTTCCTGGAAAGTACGGCTCCAGATGCCGACCGACTGCCGAAGTTCATGCCGCCCAGAATCGGACCCGCAACCAAAACCGAGGCTGACTTGCTCCCGAAGCTCAAACCGGCCCTGCTTTCCGAGCCTGTCGGCACACCTGTGCCTGAACCCACCATCGGGCTACTGGCTACCTGACCTGCCTCTGGGCCAGGTGTAGGCTCGGGACCTGCAGGTCCAGGTCGGGGCCGAACCGGGCTCCGGTCCCGAGGCTTTCTGGGGACACAGAGGAGTTGGGAGGGGTCTGAGCGTGTGCGCATGAGAGCAGACTGGGGATGCGGGGGGAGGCCTGAGGGGGGGGCAGAAGGGGGGATACCAGTGGCAGCAGCAGAGGAAGATTGGGGAGGAGAGGGGCGTAGGCTCCTGCTGCTGAAGGGGAAGTGAGGATTGGAGGCAGCAGAGGGGAGGGTGGAGGACGGAGGGATCGAGGGAAGCAACTGAAGATGCTGCTTCTGCTGCTGCTGCTGCTGCTGCTGGAGTCGCTCGTGCTGGAGTCGCTCGTGCTGGAGTCGCTCGTGCTGGAGTCGCTCGTGCTGGAGTCGCTCGTGCTGGAGTCGCTCGTGCTGGAGTCGCTCGTGCTGCCCGTCGTGCTGGTCATACATCAGCTGAAGCTTCTTCTTTAGCAGAGCCACTGACGCCGCCTCTCTCTCTGCTGCACTACCACCGACGCCAGCAGCAGGGGAGGCTCCAGAGCCCGAGCCCAGCACAGGCACTCCCGAACCTGTGCGGAATATCCCAGGATACTTACCACCTGAGCCGGCACCTGAGAATCCACGTGAAGCAGCAGCCGCAGCAGAAGCAGCAGCAGCTGCGGCAGCAGCAGAGGCGAAGGACCGAGAGGCGTGAGAAGCAGGAGGGGGCAGGGAAGTGGCAGTGAGGAGCGGGCGCTGGCGCTTGAGGGGGGGATTGAGGGCACCAGAGGCAGAGGGTTGGATTGCCTGCGTGTGTGTGGGGGGGGAAGGAAGGGGGGGGGGGAGGAGGGGGGGAGGGGGAAAAGAGAGAAGTGGGGAAGCAAGGGACAGGGAGGTGGCTGGCAGTGAGGAGCAGGCGGGCGCTGGCGCTTGAAAGGCGGGTTGGAAGGAGGGTTGAGTGCTGCTGCAGGCAGAGGACTGGAGTGCCGGTGTGTGGGGAGGGGAAGGCGAGGGGAGAAAAGATGGGGCAGAGGTGTTGCACTGAGGTGGAGCAGGTGCACTGGGGAGTCGTGTAGACAATGACTTTTGCTGCTGTCTTCCCTTTCTCAATCTCCTTCCCCGGCCACAAGCTAGCTACGGCAGACTACAAGGCTGGCAGGTGCCTCACTAAGCTCTCACTCACCCATCAAGCGTCCGCGCCGCTGTAATACAAACCAGCCGTTACTCACAGGCTTTGCTGCTTGCTTCCCTTCCCCGGTCTCCTTCCCAGGCCACGAGCTAGCCACGGCAGACTACAAGGCTGTCAGGTGCCTCGGTAAGCTCTCACTCACCCATCGCTCGTCCGCTGAAATACAAACCAGCCATTACTCACAGGCTTTGCTGCTTGCTTCCCCTCCCCATCTCCTTCCCGGCAACGAGCTAGCCGTGGCAGCCTCCAGAGCTGCAAAATGCCTCTCTAAGCTCTCACTCACCCATCACTCGTCCGCTGTAATACGAACCAGCCGTTACTTACAGGCTTTGCTGCTTGCTTCCCTCCTCCCTCCCCCATCTCCTTCCCGGGCCACGAGCTCGCCACAGCAGACTCCAAGGCTGCCAGGTGCCTCGCCACCAAGCCTGGGTCGGAGCTTCGGTGCTCGAGGCGGTGCGAGGGCAGCGGCCAAAGGGGTTGTAGGTGGGGCGGGGGGAACTGGTAGAACTGCGCCGAGACTCGACTGCGCAACTCCAGCTGCTGCAGCAGCCGCTGCTGCTTCTCCTGCTGCTGCTGCTCAGTGGAGTGTGTGTCTTGTGGTCGCTGCTGCTGGTGGTGGTGATGGCGTTGTTGCTGCTGCAGTCTGTGCCTGCTGCGGTTGGGAATCCGTCCAGCCTGGCCCCCGTCGCTCTTCACGGCATGCACTGCCGAATCGTCAACAATGCCCCGACCTTGCTCCTCGCTCCTTATACCATGTATTTCCCCCTCACTCCGCACACCATATGCCTGCCCCTCGCTCCGCACACCGTGTATTTGAGACGCCTCGAACGCGATTCGGCCTCGCTCCTCGCTGCGCACGCTGTGCAACCGACCAGCCAAGGCTGACATGTGTGCCCGTGATTGGTCGGAGCTTGGAGACGGGTTCACGTGGCCCGGTGTGACTGGCCGCAGCTGGGATACCAGGCTGGCAGCAAAGGCAGTGGCAGTGTTGCTGGTGGTTGCGTTGGTGGTGGTGGTGGTGGTGGTGTTTCTGGCGGTGGTGGTGGCAGCAGCATCGTTGAAGGTGTTAGAGCTAATGCTGCGCCCTGTGATCTTGACAGATCCATTGTGATGCTGCTGTGCATCTCTACTAGCAGTAGCATCACTGCTGCTGCTGCTGCTCTGTGCCTGGCTTTGTGGATCAGATATCCTGGTGTTGCTCCTCTGGCCGCCATCCCCACTGCCAGCACCACCAACCCCCCTGACACCACCACTACTACCATCACGACCAGCTGCAGGCATAGAGTGTGGCACTGCACTGAAGCCCGGTGCTGAGGCTGAGGCTGCACAGCCAGCTGCGGCAGCAGCTGGTGCTAATGCAGCTGGGGCTACAGTAGCTGGTGGTACAGCTGGCGCAAGAGCTGGCGCTACAGCTGGGGCTGCAGCGGAAGCTGGGCCAGAGGCAAAGGTAGTGAGGAAGGAGGCGAAGGAGGCGTTGTTGGGGGGAGGGGAGTACCCCCCGGTTAGCAGATCCGGATTGCCAGAAGCCACCTTGGAGTAGAGCGAAGGATCTGAGAGCGCCCCACCACCAAAACTGCCAGCACCGCCGCCAACACCAACACCGCCAACACCCCCACCGATAGCACTGCTGCCTACCCCTCGAGAGCCACCAGCAGCAGGTCCGTTCGCTGCTGCAGCAGCAGCGGTGGCTGCAGTGGCAGCTATAGCACCTATCTCCGCACTCCAGCTGACGCTGGGTTTGTGGCGGGAACCAACCAGCACCTGTTGCTGCTGCTGCTGCTGCTGCTGCATCAAAGGCTGCTGCTGCTGCATAAAAGGCCGCCGCTGCAGCGGCGGCGGCGGCTGCTGAGAGGTACCTGTACCGAAGGGGACCCAAGACGACGGAATGACAATAGTAGGCGGAGTGGTGGCAGCAGAAGCAGAAGCAGACGCAGGGGCGGGCATGGGAAACATAGAGGGCATGCTGTGTGAGATCGGGGGAGGGGCCATGAATCCCCAGTCATCCAGCAGCCTGATGCCTGTTATGGTGGATGCAGAGGGGGCGTGGTGGGACTGTGGCCGTGGGGCGCCTGTGCTTGCTGCTGCTGCTGCTGCTGATGCTCCCGGTGACGCCGATGCTAGCGCGTGCGGTGCTGTTACTGGTGCCAATGGTGCCCCTGCTGGTGACGCTCCTGCGGATGCAGATAACATGGCACGTGGTGCTGCCGCTGACACCGCTAATGCTGCTGCTGCTGCTGCAGTGGCTGTTCCTTGACCTGTCTCTAGTCCCCCTACCCCACATCTCTGGCTGCCTGACTGCGTAGCAGAGGCAGAGTGGGAGAGAATGGGGGTTGGGGAGATCGGCATGGAGTGGTAGTAGCGCGACGCAGCAGCAGCAGTAGCAGCTGAAGGGGAGGGCAGGGCTGCATTCGCCTGCATTTCTCTATTGAAAACGTTGAAGTCAAAAGCACTATCCTCAGAAGGAGACGATGCCCCTGAGTATACATCGGAGCCATCACGTGGAGCATGAGCATCCATGACACCTCCTCCCACCTTCAACGCTGCTGCTCCTGATGGTACTCGTGCTACTTGTACTCCTCCCCCGCCTCCTGCTTTCGGACCCGTCCCTGCAGCAGCAGCAGCAGCAGCATCAGCGGCTGCAATAGAGCCAGCCGCAGCAGCGACAGCAGCAGCAGTTGCCATGCCACCAGCAGCACCAGACACTGTAACCTCCAGCAGCCCACCCTCCCCTGAATCCCCCCTCCCTGAATCCCCCCTGCCTGAATCTCCTCCACCTGACTCCCCACTCGCACTCTGCCTCAACCAACTTCCTCTCACCCCTCCTCCCACCCCTCCTCCCACCCCCACACCCCCAACAGTCCCAACATCCCCACCTCTCCCACCTCCCCCCCCTGCAATCCCCCCCCCAGTAAACCCTCCCCCAGGTGCCATTCTAGTCGCCCTGGCCCTCCCCTCCCGACTCACAGGCCTCGACCAATGCGGAGAGGGCTCCAAATCCCTCCATATGCCCGCTGATCGTGGGGACGGGGTGGAAAGAGGTGCGTACCGCATGCTGAAGGGGGCGGCCGTGGCCGTGTGGGCGCTGGAGGGAGATGGGGATGCGAGGTTGGAGTAGCGGCCGCTGCGAGTGCCGGGACCTGAGAAGGCCATAGGGCTCGGGAGGACCAGGGGAAGACCCATGCCCAGAGCTCCTATCAGCTGCGTTCGCGGGCTGGAGTAATCTACATTCCCTGCCCCTGCTCCTGCTGCTCCTCCTGATCCCCCCACTCGTGCTCTTTCTGCCCCACCTGAGATGCTGCCTACTCTAGATAAGCCTCCCCCGGGGCCGCCTCGGGAGGATAGGCGCCTGCCGCTGCCCCCGTGGCTGGAGCCTGGCGTGGCAGGGATGTCTAGGGGCAGGTTGCTGCGCAGGCTAGCCATGCCCGCGTGCATGTCTGACGCATATGCATGAGGACGAGAATCGAAAGAATTGGACCCTTGCTGGAGCACCTTCTGCTGCTGCTGCTGCTGCTGGTAATGATGGTCGTGGTGGTGGTAGTGCTGCTGCTGGTGACTCCCAGGAGTGGCAGCAACAGAGTGCGCGGGGGAGGAGACGTGAGAGGGGGAGGTGGGGACTGGATCGGGGATGATGGAAGAGGTGAGCCCACTGCCGAAGATGGGAGCAGAGCCGGGCGCGGCTCTGCTGAGGCGAGCCGTGAAGAAGAAGGACGAGCCGTGGTTGGGCTCGCTCTCTAGCCAGATCTCGCCCCCCATCATATGCACCAGACTGTGAGAAAAGGGGGGCGGGTGGGAGGAAAGAGGGAGGTGGCAGGAGAAAGAGAGGATGGAAAAGGAGAGAGAGCGATGCACGAGGACGAGCCCTGGCCGGGCTTGCTCTCCAACCAGATCTTCCCCCCCCCATCATGTGCACTAGGCTGCAGGGAGGTGGGGGAGGAGGGGGAGGGGGGGGAGGGGGGGAAGAGGAGCGGGACAAAGGGACAACAGGAAGAGAGGCATGGGGCAGGGACGGATGGACGGACGGACGGACGGACGGACGGACAGACGGACGGACGGACGGACGGACGGACGGACGGACGGGCGGACGGAGAAAGAAACGGATGTGTCAGGCGAATCGGGGACGAGAGAGGAGGTGAGGCTGCGGCAAAAGACAGGATGGAGCTGGGCGGCACTCTATTGAGGCGAGGCGAGCAGTGAAGAAGAACGAACCCTGGTTTGGCTCGTGCTCGCTCTCCTCCCACCCACCCCTTTTCCTCACCCTTCCCTTCCACCCCTGACCTTCCCTTCTCAACCACTCCCGACCTTCAAGCCCTCCTCTTTCCTCTCCTCCCTCACCTCCTCCACCCGTCCTGCTCGCCCTTTAATCCCACCCCTGATGTTCCCTTCCCTCGTCATCCATCCCTACCTCTACCCTCCTCACCCTTGCACAATGCTGAGCCCCAGTCCTATGCCGCCGTACATCCTAGTGTTGGATGTGTCCGCCTGCACAAAGACGGAAGATCTCCCCCTGCTTCTCCCAACTACCCCCGTGTTCCTCCCTTTGCTCTTTCCTCCCTCCCCTTTGCCCTCACCTCTGCACAATGCTGAGTCCCAGCCCGATGCCGCCATACATCCGCGTGTTGGACGTGTCTGCCTGCACGAAGTTATGGAAGATCTCGCCCTGCTTCTCCCGGCTGATGCCAATCCCCGTGTCCCGCACCGCCACCAGCAGCCACACCGACCCCCCCTCACTCTCACTCCCCTCCTCATCCTCCTCTCCCTCCTCTTCCTCCCTCTCTCTGACTCCTGCTGCTTCTCGGCTCTCCTCCCCCTCCTCGTCTTCGCTTATCTCTAGCTGCTGGGTGCTCACATTAGACGCCTGACCCCATAGCATGCTCTTCAGACTCATTCCCACACTCATACCGCCTGCTCGTTTCCCTCTGCTTCCCTCCTCTCCTCTGGCCCCTCCTCCTACCCCTCCTCCACCTTCCCCTCCCCTGCTCTCCCTAGGCTGCCGCTGGTGCTGCTGTGAGTAGAAATACCTTCCCCCACCTCTCGGCCTCCCGCCTCCCTGCCCGTTCCCCTCCTGTGCCCGCATGCTTCTACTCCGCCCAAACCCCTCCAACCCCTCTCCACCCACCCCTACCAGGTTGTCACTCTCACACCTGTCCAAAACTTTTCCCTGGGGCGTATAGAGCAGAGGCTGCCCTTGAAACGCCCCAGCCCTAAAGGGGGGGAAAACCTGGGACCTTGCGCTGCTATTCCGGCTGAGCTCTACAGAAGAGTAGTCGCTAACCTGGGAAATGTTGCTGTGCTGCGTTACCAGAGGCACGGGAGCGGAGCCCGGGGCTAGTGCAGGCTCGGAGCTAGGCTCGGAATTAGGCGCGGAAACAGGTGCGGAAGCAGGTGCGAGGGCTGGCATGGACTGGTGTGCAGGCATGGGTTGTGAGGGAGGGAGAGAACGACCCATGGGCTGCAGGAAAGAGGTGAAGGGAGCGCATGGCATGCCCTCGTCCATAGCAGTGCATGCTTGGACTGCAGCCAGGGACGAGTGCATGCCACCTTGAGCTCTATCTCCTTCGCCTGTGTCTCTGAAATCCAGCACTCTCTGAGCTTGCGGAGACCCCATGTCCTCATCACTGTCCCTCCCACTCCTCTCCCTCTCCCTCTCCTCCCTCGCTCTGGCAAAGAACCCACTGCCGCCCCGTGACCCTCCCCGTGACCCTGCTCGCCTGCCGCTCGCTCCGCCCTCGCTCCACTTGCCACTGCTCCTCCCACTCCTCCCACTCCTCCCACTCCCTGCCAAACCCACGTCTAGAAAATCCACCCGCCTGCTGCGCGTCTCACTGGAGCGCGTTCGAGACATGGGCACTTGCACGTCATCCCTGTCATCGTCCCTGCCGCCATCTCCACCCCTCGCTCTACTGCCACGGCACGACTCTCCATCGGATAAGCTACCACTCTCCACCACTCCCTCACTCCCCCTGCCTCTCCCCACCATCCCCCCTCCTTCTCCTACCCCTCGCCTTCCCCCTCTTCCCCAGCTCTTCTCCCGCCACCTCCCACCCCTCCACACCCCTCCCAACTCCACCGTTTCCTCCCCACTCGCCGTGCGTCCCTCTCCCCCTGCCCACGGTTCCGACCAATCACCAGCTTGGGAGTCAAGGCATTGATACACCCCCACCCCCCCTCCCAGCTCAGCCAACTCTTGGCTGCCGCGGCGGCTTCGCTTGCCTGGGCCAAACAGGGAGGCTCGGCGGCTGCCAGACCTGCCGAGCGTGGCTCGGTGGGACGAGCCTGGGCGGCTGGGAGGGTCGGAATGCCAGCCAGAGGTAGAAGAGTCTGGATTGGTGTGTGCCTCAGCAGCAGCATCCCCTGCTGCTGCTGCCGCCGCTGCTGCTGCTGTTGATGGTGATAGCTGTCTTGCTATATCAGCGCCTAGACCATCCGTTGGCGCAGCACCACGAGCAGCATACGCATCACTAGATGCTGGTCGTACTCTCTCTTCCCCTCCCTCCCATCCCCGCCTCTCCACCCCCTCCTCCCTCCTGCCCGCTCCTCTTCTCCTGGTGAAAGACCGCCCCAGAAACGCGAGGAAACTTCCGGGAACCTTGTCGGAAGCAGACAGCAGAACGCCGTCCCTTGACTGGGGTCTGCTTTGCACATTCGACGCGGCAGCAGCAGCAGCTGCAGCAGCCACAGAGCCCACAGCAGCAGCAGCAGCAGCAGCAGGAGGAGCAGAATTGGGAGCGTTTGGAGTGACAGGGCACGTCACAGACCGGGGGATGACCTTGCGCTGGCGCCGCTGGTGGCCTGGATGCTGCTGCTCTTGCCCCTGCTCTTGCCCCTGGAGGTGTGGGATGGACGACTTGTGGCGGCGGTGGTGCCGCTGCTGCCGGTCCTTCTTCCTCTGCCCCTGCTTCTGGCAGTGCTGCTGGTGCCTGCTGCTGCGGAAGAGGAGGGAGATCTCGAGGGTTACTGACCCTGCTTCTGTGAACTTTATTGCATTGCCCACTGGGGGGAACGGGGAGGGAGACGAGGAAGTGACAGAGTAGGAATGAGCGTGTTAAATGGTCAGAGATATAGAGTGGGAATCGGAGGACGGGGGTTGGGGTTAAGGGGTAAGGGGCGGTGGGGGTGTGTGTGTGGGGGGGAGGGGGGGAGGGGGGGGGGGGGGGGGGGTGTGCTACTGGTGCTGCATGCCACAGAAGAGGAGATTGATTCAGTGGAGTCGACTGAGCAAAACTGCAAAGAGCAGTTGGATTGGATGCATGTATGAGGATGCACGCGGCCAGCATCTTTCAAAGAGGCGCATCTTTCATCTCATGTAGTAGGAAGCACCTTTTGGAAAGATGCTGGCGTGGCGTTGCTCTCGCTCACCGTTCAAATCTTAACCCCAAGTGTTGGAGATCAGGATGGCTCACCAAGATTGATGAGGCACTGCTGCAGCCTGCCCGGGTCGCCCATCAGCTCCAGAGGCACCTTCTCCGCCACGTGCCATGAGAAGGCCAGCTGCTTCTGCTCCGCCCTCACCTGCAGGGGGAGAGGGGAGGAGAAGGGGGGGGGGGGAGGGAAGAGGGAGGAGAGGGAGGAGAGTGGGGGAAAGAGAGGGAAGAGAGGGAGGAGAGGGAAGAGAGGGAGGAGAGGGAGGAGAGGGAGGAGAGGGAGGAGAGGGAGCAGAGAAGTTGAGAGGGTCTATAGTCCCCCACGTGCCATGAGAAGCCCAGCTGCTTCTGCTCCGCCCTAACTTGCAGGGGGAGGGGAGGAGAGCGAGTCGAGGAAGAAATAGGAGGCCGGAAAGCCACTCGGTCCAGCGCCAGGTCCAGGACTGTATTTGGGATGTTGAGCAGACAGTCCGCAATGTCAGAGTCGTGGCACCTGCAATGCAACCCACACACAGTCTCACCTGCAGCATTGGCATGGTTGAACCAACAAAGTCCCACAGCTGGAAAGCCACTGGGTCCAGCACCAGCTGCCCTGCTTCTGTGCGCGCCCGGTCCGGGACTGTATTAGGGATGTTGAGCAGACGGTTGGGCGTTCTGTTAGCCATGCCTGTAGAGTCTCTCCTCACCTGCAGCATTCTCATTGTAGACCCCACTACGTCCCGCAACCGGAAAGCCATTCGGTCCAGCGCCAGCTGCCCCGCTTGGATCCGCGCCAGGTCCAGCACCGTGTTGGCGATGTTGAGCTGACAGCCGGCCAGCCCTAAACGGCAGCATTGGTGAGTTGGCTCGACTCGTCACCCACCTGTAGCATGCGCATGGTAGAGCCAACGACGTCTCTCAGCCGGAAAGCCACTCGGTCCAGCGCCAGCTGCCCCGCTTCGATCCTCGCCAGGTCCAGAACCGTATTGGCAATATTGAGCAGACAGTCTGCCGACTGCGCCACCACTGTGAGGTGCTCGTGCACCTCCAAGGTCAGGTCGCTGCGCTCTGCTAAGGCTGCTGCTGCTGCAGCGGCGGAGTGAGAGGAGTGGTGAGTGGTGAGGGCGGGCACTGGAATGGCGCGGAGGGACTCGAGGGTGTCCATGGCAAGGGCTGTCATGCCGATGATGCCGTGGATGGGAGTGCTGGTGGGGGAGGGGGGGCGGGGAAGGGGGGGGAGTGGGGGAAGAGGGGGGGAGGGGGGAAGGGGGTGGGCAGGGGAGGATGGATGGGAAGGAGGAGGTGAGGTCAAGGCACGGGGCATTGGAGGGACTCGAGGGTGGCCATGACCAGAGCTGTCATGCCGATGATGCCGTGGATGGGGGCGCTGGGGGAAGGAGAGGGCGGGGGAGGGGAGGGGAGGGGGGGGGGGGTGGGTGGGTGTTAGGGCCGTGGTTGGTGGTAGGGTTACAGGAAAAGGGAGGGGAGAGGCATGGCTCAGGCTGACTCGAGGGTGTCCACGGTAAGAGCTGTCGTGCCAATGATGCCGTGGATGGGGTGCTGGGGGGGTGGGGGGGGAGAAGGTAGGGGCGTGGTAGTAGGATCACACGAAAAGGGAGGGAGGGGAGCGGCACAGCTTAGGTTAATTCGAGGGAGTCCAAGGCAGGCAAGGGCTGTCATGCCAATGATGCCGTGGATGGGGGTGCTGGGGGGTGGGAGAGGTGGGAGGGGGAATGAGACGAGAATGAGGAGGTTCGGTGAGGTGAAGACACCAGGAAGTGGAAGCACTCGAGGGTGTGCATGGCAAGAGCTGCCATGCCAATGATGCCGTGGATGGGGGTGCTGGGGTGGGGGTTTGGGAGGTTTGAATGGGAAGAAGCATGGGAAAGAAAGGCGGCATGGATGGAGCAGTGTTGGCAACTTGGCGGTGTTGAGCCGACGGTTCGCTGACTGCGCCACCACTGCCAGGTGCTCGTGCAGATTGCTGCGCTCGTGCTAACGCTGCCGCTGCAGCAGAGCAGGAGTGGGCGGAGGTGTGGGAGGGGAGGGGGACGGCGTGGATGGGAGTGCAGGGGGGGGCGGGGGGGGGGGGTAAGAGGTGGGGGAGGAGAGGGGTGGTTGGTGAGGTTGATGGGAGGGGAGAACGGAACGGAAGGGGAATGTCAGGACATGGGGCGATGAGGGGGCTCGAGGGCGTCCGTCCACAGCCAGGGCTGTCACACTGATAATGCCGTGGATAGGAGGGGTGTTTGGGGAGGAACACCGGGGGGAAGTGGACTGAAAAGAGCATGACTGACTGACTGCATGTGGAAGTCACGATGCGATGCACACACACACACACACACACACACACACACACACACACACACACACACACCACACGTGGCTCATTCATGCAGGCAACAAAATGTGACGCCCGAGTGCACCGAACGTAACCTGGTAACCGTACCGGATCTCGGGGATCATGTTGGCAAAGAAGGGTGTTACTTTCGATCATCGCAAAGCAACCTGGTAGCCGTACCGGATCTCGTGGCTCATGTTGGCCAAGAACTCTGTCTTCGCCCTCCCCGCCTCCTCCAGCTCCTCTTTTGATTTCTTCAAATCCTGCCAACACACCAAACCATGGGGGTACGTACGAGGACGGGCGGAGGGAGGGGGACCAATTGAAGAAAGTGTAGATGAGGGGAGAATAGAGAAGCAGCAACAGCAGAACTGGATACTCTCGAGGTAATAGCTGCTACCCTTACCTCATTGTACTGCCGGATCCGTTCTGTCCGCCTCTGCACCTCCCCATCGAACGAACCTCGCATTCAGTCGCAGCAGCTCCTTCCTCAGCCGGTTTGCATCCCGCACATTGAAAATGCTGCCCTGTAAACACGCCCACCCAGTACTCTACTCACCTCGTTGTACTGCCGGATCTGCTCTGTTCGCCTCTGCACCTCCCCCTCCAACCTCGCATTCAGCCGCCGCAGCTCCTTCCGCAGCCGGTTCGTGTCCCGCACCGCCGCTGCCACCAGCAACCCCACCACCGCCACCGTCACCACAAACCCCTGCACCTGCAGAATCGTCCCATTCGCAGTTTCCCGCACCAGCGGGCCCCACCCCCTGGCGGTGCAGCAGCAGGCGATCAGCACAACTAGGAGCAGCATGAGGCCGGAGCCGTGGCGGTTGAACCTAACCGCCGCCCAGAGCACCCCGGGGAAGAGCATGTAGGGGAGGGAGACGATGAGGGGGGAGGTGCCTGGCGCGAATATGAGGAAAGATACGCCCGTGTTGAGGAGGGCTAGGGCGAAAAATTCCCAGTTTTTAGGGGTGGAGAGGTGGTGGAGAAGGAGGGTGAGGCGCCAGGAGTGTGAGGAGTGTGGAGATTGGGGAGAGGTGAAGTTGTGGGAGGGAGAATGGGATGGGGACTGTGGCGGACCGGCGGCGGCTTGGATTCGTAGTGCTGCTCCTTGGGACCGCCGCTTCCACAACGACACTTGCATAAGTAACGGCAGCGTGAGAATAATCCCTGAAAAACTCGCCAGTGTCCGAAAACACCCGGTAATGGCGGCCTCCTCCGGCGTTTCTGCTCGGATCAGGCTCAGGACGATCGACACGATCCCCTCGAAGATGAAGGAGATGAGGAGGGAGAAGAAGAAGAGGCGGAAGGTGTCAGAGACCCGGTCTAGGGGGGTTAGGTCAGTGGGTCGGCGCCCGAGGAAGCGCATCAGGAAGAACGCGAGGATGACTACAAAGAGGGTGCGGTCCGTGCCTAAAATGAGGGAGTAGAGAATGAGCTGGAGCCGGGGCAGGCTGACGTGGAGGGCGCCATAGGTGAGGGAGAGGGCTGTTCCTGAGAGGAGGAGAGCAGGCCAGATGCGGTAACCCAGTGCCTGTTGAGATGAGGGATGGGGGTTGGAGATGGGGAGGCATATTATTAGAGCGTAGGCAGATTGAAACGTTTCAGAGCTGTGGAGTGAGAGCTTACCAAGACAGCGAAGAGTGAAAGGCCAGTGGGGAGCCACACAGGCGCAGGCACAAAGAGCAGATCGCCCACTTTGGCCACAGTGAGCATGGCAGCAGCGACACCCGTGAGACCCACCGCCACCAGCAGCACCAGTACCACCTGCCGCCACCAACCCAACTCCCGCATGTCAACCAGCAACGGCCACGTGTTCCTCTTCCCCCCGTTATAAGCCTCCCCGATTTCATCTTCGTCGTCGCCAGCGTGGCTGCTCAGATTCTCCTCCTCCTCGCCTTCCTGCCCGTACTCGTTAAGGCTAGACTCGCCAGAAGACGAGAAGCTCTCCGCGTCCCGGTAAGAGTCAGCGCTGCTCTCACTCTCACCGTCTCTCACGGCGGCGTTTACCATGCTTCTGACAGCGACGACAGGGTTTGTCTGGTTTCCGTCTGGTTTGCCGGCCATGCCGTGCATAAGAGTCTCCTGCCGGCCCATCTCCACGCCCATATCCACCACGTAAGCCTCCCCTTCCCTATCCCCCCCTCCCCTTCCGCTGCTACTTCTAAATCGACTGTCCCCCTCTTCCCTCTCTCCGCCTCTGTCTCTGCGCATGCTATCCCCGCCTTCCCCTCTGCTGCTCGCTCCCACTGACCGTCCCCTTCTCCCGCTACCGCCGATTCGGCTCTCGTTATAAGCCTCCCCGCTTTCGCCGTCGGCATCTCGGCTGTCGCCCTGTTCCAGGTCCCAGTCGTCCGCGCGAAACGAGTTTGGCTGCGACAGCTGGTCGAGCGCCGATGGCCACTCTGCGACGTCGCCTTGTGACCGAACATCGGCGTCCGCCTGAGCGCGCTCCTCCTGCGCCGCGTCCTGCGCCGCTGGACCCGCTGATGCAAGCGGTGCGGGTCTGTCACGCTCGGGAGCTAGGTTTCCGTCCATGATTTATTGTTTAACGGAACGTGCCTTCTGCCATTCGCGCCCAAATTATCGAATGCTATCTCGGCGAGAGGTCGCCGCCGGCCAGGACAGTTGAACCGAAGCGAGGTCGAATGCAGATAACAGCACGGAGCAAGTATCGGGTAGAACCTTCCACGTCCATTCCAGCTCTCTGCTTCCTAAACTCAACTACGTACCTTGTAACTCGCACGCACTAGTAAGTGACTCAACTGCTTCTGAGTCAACCATTCTGTTCAGGCATGGTGCTGCTTGCTGCTTGCGTGTAGCTGTGGTGAGTTGGGTTTGTCTGTTGTGTGCTCCCTGCTCGCAACGCAACCCTGGGATTGGCCTTGGGAGCAGTTGGGATAGTCCCCATGGCTTGGCCTGACCTGCACGCACAACCTGAAACCAGCAGGCGATGGCTTGACGAAGATCATTTCCAACCTCAAGAGTTCGCAACCACGATGAGGGGAGGTGTGGTGGGGATTAACGAAAGCCTGGCGATAAACTATCCCTGTCGCGGTGGTTTCGTCAGGGGCTGTTCCCTGTAGAGGGCGGTGAGGTTTCCAGGGAGGTGAAGTTCCCAAGGACCTGACAATTTTGACGGCGGAGTTCCCTAGTGACTGGACGCGAAAACGGATTGGTTGGAAGGGCCAGATCCTGTTATAACGTGAAACGGAAAGTATCAAGTTGAATCTGGTTGATTTTGATATCGAGCTACAACCATGGAAAGGACATAACATTCCAGACCAAAATATATGTAAAAGAACAAATGGAATGGTGTCATATGTGCTTAGGGAAAAACCAGGTCTTCATATGCTGTGTGTCTTCATCCATGGAGTCTCTGGATTTTGCGCAAGGCAGAAAACAAGAGAACGGTTCAAAATCTGTTAGGAGCTAGCACAAAGTGGATGTAGTAAGAGCCATAACTAAGCACAGTGCATTCATAGCGGAAACTCACCATGAACCTGCTCTATTGTGGCCCGCTGCGCCGGATCCTTCTCCAGCATCCTCCTCACCACCGCTTTAGCAGCCTCCGACACGCCATCCCACCTCGGCCCTTCCATGCGAACTGGCCCGTGCAGAATAGCGTCGCACAGCGAGCGGCTCTTGCAGGCGAAGAAAGGCAGAGCGCCAGAGAGCATCACATAGAGCACCACACCTGCGCTCCATATGTCTGCTGGCGGGCCGTAGCAGCCGCGCAGCAGCTCAGGCGCCATGTACATTGCTGTGCCCACTGCATCAGTGCAGGGCAAGCCTGGAGACAAGTAGTCAGATAGGGGATGGAGAAAGAGAGGAAGGAAAAGGTTGTGCTTTAACTGGAGGGGGGGATGTGGACAAATGCTAATGAGGACAAGGTTCTGCACAGCATTGCTCACCTTGAGCAAACGAGTTGGTTTTTAAGAAGAAAAAAACAGCATTACTCACCTTGGGAGAAACGAGTTGCCACGCCAAAGTCACCAAGCTTCACAAGAAGCTTCTCTGCATCTCCTCTCCCTTCCCCTGCCCCTCCCCCTCCCTTGCCGTATATAAGCACATTCTCTGGCTTCACATCCCGGTGAATCACCCCCATTGTGTGGCAGTGCTGCAGCGCCTGCAGCAGCTGGCTCAGAATGCAAGCAGCAGTGGCTTCCGACAGCCGGGTGCGGGTCTTGATGTAGTCGAAAAGGTCGCCATGGCGGCACAGCTGCATGACTATGTGGATGGCGCCGGGGTCCTCAAAGGCGGCATTCATATCCACTATGCCCGGGTGGCCTCTCACGCACTCCATTGTCTCAACCTCCCTGCGGATGTCCTCTGCTGCTGGTATGCTCTGGAGAAGGGAAGGGGAGGGGAGGGGAGGAGAGAGATGTTTGTGATCAAGAAGAGGGGTCAGCAGCCACAGCAGCAGCAGCAGCAGCAGCAGCAGAGGGAGAGACAACAGGAAGAGAGGACGTGTTGGTAATGAAAGCATGGCAGCAGCTGCAGCAGAAGCAGCAGCTTGTGTCAGCCAGGTGGCCTCTCACACGCTCCCGCCGAATGGCCTCCACTGCTGGCAGGAGGGTAGGAGGGGGGAGTGGGGAGAGGGAGGGACAAAGTACAACCTCCCGCCAAATGTCCTCCGCTGCTTGCAGACTGTGGCTGGAGGGAGGGGAGGGAGGGGAGGGGGAGCTGGGGGGGCAGAGGGGAGGGAGGCCTGAGGAATGTGTGGTGGGGAATGGGGGAATCGGGCAAGAAGAATGGGGGGGAAGGGGGAAGGGGGAATGAGGAATGAGGAATGAGGAATGAGGAATGAGGAATCCCTTTTCTGAAAGTCCTCTTCTGCTGTCTGGCTGTGCAGGCCTCTACTGATATAGGGGAGGGTATAGGAGGTATCTATCACCAGCCTAGCCTGCCCTTCTCACCTGAATGTTCCTCTTTTTTATCGTTTTGCATGCATACGCCGCTCCAGCTGCCCCGCGCCCCACGCACTTGTAGATGACTCCGAACTGCCCGCGCCCGATCTCCCTCCGCCCCACCACGAACCGGCTCTGCAGCGCCACGTACGGCCGCCCCAGCACGCTCCCCTGCACGCCCCCGCCCTCCGCTAGTTTCAACGGTGGAGGTTTAGCTCCCTGGCGCTGCTGCAGGTTCTGCTCCTGCTGCTGCTGCTCCTGATGCTGCTGCCACTTGTGCTGCTGATTCAGCTGCAGCCCCCCAGGCTCCCCATTGCCCTCCCCTGAGCGCAGCGAAGCGCCAGACGCCGCCTCAGCAAACCCGCTACCAGCTTCTCCACCACCAAACGAGGATCCACTGCCTGCCAGCGAAGGCACAAGAGCGCCTCGGAACGACCCCACAGCGCCGCCATAGCCCCACAGGGCCCCACCATCGGCCGCCCCCCGTCCCCCAGTAGCTCGTTCACTACCAATGCACGCTCCGCGCTGCCTCGCCTCTGCTTCGTCCTCCGCTGCCCTCCTTGCAGGGCGAAAAACGGCTGCTGTAGGCGTGGCTGCTGCACCTGACTCTGATCCTGATGAGGATGATGACGACGACGATGATGATGATGGTGAGGAGAGTTGAGATACCGATGCCTCCCCATACAGATCCCCATGGCAAGCCACCTCACTAGACCTCCTCACAAGCCTCTCCGTCTCCGTCTTTGCCTCTCCGACCTCCATCTTCTCACCCTTTTTCACCTCCCCCTCCCCACCTTCCTGCTCTGATAAATACTCGTCTACATAGTCGTCCGGCGCGTCCCTGAACGAGTTATCGAGGCAGCCTCTAAGGAGGTCGCGGAGGAGAGGGGGAGGGGTGAAGAGGGACGAGGGGCAGGAGGCGCGGCGGCGGGAGGGGAACCGTGCCGAAGGGGGAGGAGGAAGTGGGGGGGAGGGAGGGGAGGGGAGAGAGAGGGGGGGGAGGGAGAGGGGGAGGAGAGAGGGAAGCCAATCTTCTGGACGATCTGCTTGCGAGCCTTTCACGTGCCGTTGCTGCTTCACATGCATCTTCGAGATCTCCTGCTGCTGCTGCTGCTGGTGATGATGGTGATGCTGATGGTGATGCTGATGCTGATGCTGATGCTGATGCTGATGCTGATGCTGATGCTGATGCTGATGCTGATGCTGATGCTGATGCTGATGCTGATGCTGATGCTGATGCTGATGCTGATGCTGATGCTGATGCTGATGCTGATGCTGATGCTGATGGTACAGCCAGGGGTTCTGTGGAGTCAACGCAAGTCAACGCCTGCTGGTGGTGGTGCTGCTGCTGCTGCTGGTCAGCGTCCGATTCTGCTCCTCTGCATTCACCATCCCCAGCCTCCCTCAGTTCCGCCTTTTCCGGATCTATCTCCCCCCCTCCGCCCTCTCCTCTTGCCTGCCCCTCCCGCGTGCTGCGCCTCCCCCCAACCCACGACATGTTCACCCTTCCCCAGCTGCGCCACGTGGCAGCAGCGGATTGGGGGAGCGGCGGGAGCGGGTGTGTGGGGCTGTGCACCACTTCGGACGCACTGCGGACGTGTCTGCCGCAGCGGCTCACCGCTCCTTCCGGCTTTTGCTGCTCTTGTTGATTGGCCTGCTGCTGCTGATGCTGCTGCTGCTGCTGCAGGGGGGGGGATGCTGGAGGCTGCTTCTGCTTCTGCTGCTGGCACTGGTACTGCTGGTTACCCGCCCCGTGTAACTCATTCTCGCCGCTGCTTCTACTGCTGCTGCTGATGCTGAAGCTCTTGCACCTCATTCGCTGGCGGTACCCGGGACTCACGGGTGCGCCTTGCCCCAACGGCAGGCTGCCACGTGGCGGAGGGACGCGGAGTACCCGGGGAGATATTTGCGGCGCGTCAATTGGCAGTGGAGAGACGGGAGGCGGCAGGGCAGACGGGTTCGGAAACAATGGGAGGCTGCCACGTGGCGATTGTACAGGTTCCCTTAAAGGGGGGCTGGCGCGTGGCGATTTGACAGGTTGCGCCAATGAGAGACTGCCACGTGGCGAGTTAAGCGGTTGTCCTTTTGGGAGACTTCTACGTGGAGATTTAACGGGCTGCCCAAATGGGAGACTGCCACGTGGCGAGGGAACGGGCGGGGGCCGAGGTGAGATTGATAGCGGCATGGGGGACGGATTAGCGTACATGGATGATGGAGTGTGGATTGAACAGCAGTCTTCTGCCATAGTCACTTCACCTCCCCGCGCACCTGCCCGTTCACCTGCCCGTTCACCTGCCCGTTCACCTGCCCGTTCACCTGCCCGGGTACTAGTAGGGGAGGGATTGCTAGCGATCATCCCACTGCCATGGGGAGCTCTCGCGAGGTTGAGCGGCGGGGGGCATTGGCGCGGGCGCGGGGGGGACAGGGAGGGGGAAGCGTTCCGCGTCGGCGCGTCAAACGGGAGGGGCGGAGGGGGTCTGTGCGGGGAGGAGAGGGAGGGGGGACCGTTCTGCAGCGGCGCGTCAAATGGGAGCGGCGGAGGGGGTCGGTTGGGGGGAGAGGGGGAGGGGGAGCTGCGCCGCGTCCACGCGGATTGGTTCAGAGACTGCGCCTTGCGCAATGCGCGCGCTGCTCGTGGCGCGGCAACGCTGCTTGTAGTAGTAAGGGAGAGGTGATTCCCACCGCCAGTGGCGCTACTGCTACCTCCACTACTGGCACTAGCAGTGGCGGCACCACCGCTGGCGCCGCTTGCGCGGGCAGCTCTTGATAAGTGGAGAGGCGCCGGAGGCTGGTGCTGGCGCTGGCGCGGTGGAGAGGGGGAGCAATTCTGCGTCCACACCGGGGCGCGCGGCTTCTCCGACTGCGCCTTGCGCAACACGCGCGCTGCTCGTGGTCGCACGGACAACGCGGCGGCTTCCGCTGCTGCTGCTGCCGGCGCTGCTACCGGCGCTGCTGCCGGTGCTGCTACCGGCGCTGGAACGGAAACGACCCCTTGAACGGCTGCGGCTGTAGTGATACCCGTAGGCGCTCTTGGCGATGTCGCAGCTGTAGCCGCCGTCGCAGCAGTCGCAGGTTTCGCCGCTGCTGTCGCCGCCGCGGAGAACGATTGGCCGGCAGCAGATTGCGACCTCAAGTACGCGCGTCGCCTTAGCTGGTGATGCGCCTCGAGACGACTCATATTAAGGCCAATCATGTCGAGACGGGTCCGGTCGCCGTCGCTGCTTCTAGACTTACGCTCACGCTGCTGCTGCTGCCGCTGCTGCTGCTGTTGCTGCTGCTGGTCGTAGGGTTGCGGTTTCTGTGCCTCGGCCGCAGCCGACGGCGCGATCCCCGCCGCACCTGACGGTGCAGAGACGTCGCAAGTGCCGGATGTTGCTGCAGCAGTAGCAGCCGTCGTGCGAACCGGTGCGAAGTGGCTCATGTCGTGCATCGACTGCGACTTTGTGCGACACCTCGGCGACTGTCGCTCACCCCGTGCGACTGCTGCCGCTTTCGCCACCGCCGCCGAGGTATCACTACGAGGCCCCTGGCCTTGTCGACGCTGGGCGTTCGCAGGCGGATTTTCGTTATTATCACACTCTTTAAACGCCATAGGTAGCGGCATGATCGGGGAAGATGGGCTCCGCCGATGCGCCACTATCGGCGCCGTCCCCGCGCCGCCTCGGCTGCGCGAAAAACTTCCCGAAAGTAGAAGCGGCGGCAGACACGACGGCGCGTTTCGCCCTGCGGCTCGCATCGCTCGTTCCGCCACGTCATCGTCGTCATCATCCGATGACGAGTCGTCGTTTGCCGGCTGAGCGATGAGCACGACCTGCCGGCCGTCAAAAACAGCGTCTGGCAGTTCCTGAGCCGTCTGAGGCGGTTGAACCTGCTGAACCGGCGTCAGTCGACGTGATGATGACTCATCGGGTAATGACGATGACGCGACGCTGCTAAACGAGGACGACGCACGCCAACCGCCGGCGCCGAAATCCGGCGCGTTTCTAGTATTGCTATTTGCTTCGAAAGTAAACGCCGCGTCGGCCGCGTCGACCGCGTCGACTGCTCGGGTTGCGGCGGTATCTGCGGAAGGCAGCCGCGGCGCGCCGGCAAGTCTCATGGCGCCGACTGTCATGGTGGCACCAGTGGTCACGGAAGGACGATCTGCTGCAAGAATCATGCTTCTCCCCGCGATGACGTTTACGGGCCTTGGCCGCTAGGCCTCCGCGTCCACTGGTTGAGCCGGGGGCAGTGGATCACAGCTGCCAGTTGTAGCCGCTACAACCACTGCTGCTTGACCTTCGAACCCACTTCGCGAGGCCCCCACGACGGCCTCCGGACCGGACGTTGCGATTTCTCGAGCTTGTGGGACGTCGCGATTCGACAGCAGGTTGCTTCTAGGCACTGGTGGCTGCGGATGACGAAGCTTTTAAGTGGCTTGGTAGCACAATGATCTGGTGTTTCTGATTAGTTCTACTCCGCCTCATTATGGAGGTCTGCAGCGGAGCGGGTCCTGCGTTTAGCGTTAGGGTAGTAGTCGCTGAAACGATGTTAACTGTAACCGAGTTTACGAGTCTCTCTGCTGGGTGCTAGCTGCTGTATGCTGCACAAGGGTGGTCGTTCAGTTCAGACCATTTGTTCATTAGTAGGTGTACAGTAGTACAGTACTGTAGTATCATCGACAGACACGCCTGACCCAGTTGCAGCAGCGAAAGGGATAGCAGTAAGTGCAACAATGACAATGACCAGTCGTAGTACGAGCCGCTGGAAGTTGGGATTGGGCGGGATGGATGGGACGGTCTTTTCTTCCGCGGCAATGATTCGCGTGGCGCGTTGTCGATCGTGACATTATGATTGCCTGACCGAGGACTAAGGCGGTGAGGGTGATGGGCAGCCATGCAGGATGGCGGTGGTCGCTGAACATGGCGGTGAGGAGGAGGAAGAAGGGAGCTTGAAAAAATCGGATGGTTTCTGCTTTGCGAGCAAGCGCACTGGACTGGAGCGATGCCTCGTGACAACGGTTCCCAGCCCAACCAAGCTTAGGTCCTAGGAGCTGTGAACGTCGGTGAAGAAGACAGGGCACGCCACAGGAGGAAGCACAAACAGGACGCAGGTAGGAGGCGAGGAGGGGATACAGTAATCGGAGGGACGCAGAGTGGAGCAGAACGCAGCAGCGAGCAGAGGAAGTCGTTCTGCTCGACCTCGAATCCTCGAATCCTCGAATCCTCGATCAAGGCAGAGCTGCCAACGAAAGTCCTTTCTGCCCCACCTCCCTCCCGCAGCATTTCACTGCCAGAATTTCTTCATCCGATCCACGGGGGACCGCGACACAGTAGATCTGACCCGGACTTTTAATTTCTCATCCAAAGTGTCCTAGCTATCAGAATGTGTTGAACGCTATCCCTGACTTTTCGTGCTAGATAACTGGGCTTCCATTTAAGCTCGTTTTCATAAATAATGTGGATGTTGACCAAAATAGCGAGTTTCCCGCCAGATAACCCCTTTTGCTGCTGTCTCATCATTGAGAGCTGGTGACCCTACAAACGAGCGAAAAACCCCGTGAATTCCGAGTTTTGGCTGCTCGTGGCCAAATGAGAGTCGGGCAGATTTCACTGACGAACTTGGTTACAGTACAGTCCGAGCCAACTTTTGGCGGTTCAGTACAGTACAGGCCGCGGTCCCCTTTCGCTGGCACGTCGTCGTCCCAGATTGGGCAGGGTGGTTTCTCGTGGCGAAAAGACTGTTGCGAAAAAATATGAGTTACAGTTCTAGAGGGAGAAATTCTTCACCACAAAGCTGATTTTCTTGTACTGTATATGTAGTCACCAGACGGTTCTACACATCCTTCGCAACCATCTCGAAACGAGTATATCATAAACGCGTTCGCCTGTGTGACTAGGGTTACCGAGGGCATCAGGTGTGATTTCACCGCAGTTGCCGCTTGGCGAGCTTCTAGAATCTGCAAAAAAGGTGTCCCTAAGCGCGACGTCTGAGCGTGCCTCAGTCCACCTTTTAACCTCTTGCAGCTCCGTCGAAGCCTCACAATCTTGCGAGCTTAGCCCAATAAAAACCTTTTTTCTGTTACGACACCCAGTTCATCCGCCAAGGATGGCGACAGCTGGTGTCTCCTCCTTACCCCACTCTTCCTCCCCCATCCCCGGCGGCAGCGGAAGTGGCAGCGGCAGCGGCGACGAGAGCAGAGACGGCAGAGAGAGCAGCGGAACCGTACCGTCATCTTCCGGAGCTCCTAGTTCAGATGGTAATTTCGAGTGTAACATCTGCTTCGAAACGGCCAACGATCCCGTTATAACGCTCTGCGGTCACCTCTTCTGCTGGGCGTGCCTATATCGGTGGCTGCGGCGAAACCCCCACAATAAAGAGTGCCCCGTTTGCAAGGCAGCAGTCGACGAAGCTAAAGTCATTCCCCTATACGGCAGAGGAAAGGCTCCGTCAGATCCGCGCAAGAAACCCGTTCCTGACGTAGACGACGACATCCCAAACCGGCCGGCCGGCCAGCGGACGGAATCCGTCAGGAACCCTAACGGAAACGGAGCTGCCGCCGGCGGCGGCGGGTGGGGTTACAACCACCCAGGCATGGGCTTCTTCGCAGGGGCAGGCGGGCCGTTCGCGACAGCCCAATTCGGCGGGTTCACTGTCTCAGCAGGGTTCGGGTTGTTTCCCGCGCTTTTTGGGCTCCAATTGCACGGATTTCCCGGGCAGGAGGGGGTGCCCGGGGCAGGTGGAGCTGGGGGAGGGCCGACCGGGGGAGGGCTGAATCAGGCGGGGAATCTGCAGCAGCAGAACTTGAATCCGGTGGAGCTGCAGCAGCAGGCGTTCCTGTCGCGGCTGCTGCTGATGCTGGGGCTGTTCGTGCTCATGACGCTCTTCCTCGTGTAGCTGGCCAGCCGCGGCAGCTGTGGCAGCCGCTCCTCTCGCGGCTGCTGCTGAAGCCTTCTTCGCGGCTGCTGCTGATGCTGGGACTCTTCGTGCTAGTGTCATGACGCTCTTCCTCGTGTAGCTGGCTAGCTGCGGCAGCCGCTCCTGTTGCGGCTGCTGTTGAATCCTTCGTTGGGCGCATGCTGGGATGGGACAATTGGTGGCCATGGCACTGTTCCTCGTGTAGGTATAGAGCTGCAAGGGGGGCGGAAGACCGTTGAGGCTGGTCGTTGGTCAAGCCACTTCGTTTGGAGGAGTGGAAATAAAAAAGGTTCAAGGATTGCAGCTGCAGGGGGTGCAGGTGCAGGGGGTGCAGCTGCAGGAGGTGCAGGTACAAATGTCTCGGCTGGGGAGGGATTAGTGCCCAAGAGGGCGAGGGCAATTGGCAGGAGTAGCTGCAGGCTTGGCATGCTGTGAGAATTCTGGGGACTAGCAGTTCATTACCAGGGGAAGGGCCGTCTGTACTATGGGATGTGTGTGCGGGGTTGGAAGTCGGGGCTCGGGAGGGACTCGGTCTGGACTGGGTGATAGTGATAGATGCTACAAGTCGTAGTAGCACGAGTACACCGGCAATTCGCCACCGCCGGGTGCTTTTTGGGCTTTTCCTGTGGCTGCGTACACCTAGTGTTTCTCTTGCGGTGCGCAGGCAGAATGACAGCTTTGCAGCAGCCTGGATATAGTTTCTCCAGGATCTTCTTGACAAGAGTGGTATATGTAGATCTACCAAACCATCTGCGGATTATACGGCAGTGGCTCTCAAGTCGAGAACGATATGTAACTATGGACCACGCCATGTCAGTGGAGTTGAGTGAGACCTGAGTGAGCGAGTACCCCATGACTGGCATCTCCGACATGGCTGCATGGATTGCATTGCACGTCCAGAAGCAACATCACGGCCTTCAAACCCATGCATGAGGTGCTCGGCACGGCATCCGTGTACCACAGGGCATCCATGTACCACAGGGCATCTGTGTACCACAGGGCATCCGTGTACCACAGGGCATCGTGTACCACAGGGCATCCGTGTGCCACAGGGCATCCGTGTACCACAGGGCATCCCTGCCTAAACGACAGATCCTCTTCCATGGGGGAATGGACAATGGACAGTGGTCACACACGTCACGTCACACATCGCGCTTCAGCTCAATACCACCGCGGCAGCACCTCCTGGACTGGACAGCAGCCATTATTGACATCAGAGTCAATTCTGAAAAACGACTGCACGCCTCCCTGGACAGCAGCCCCACCTCCAATCCGAATGCACACAGGACGTGCATTGGATTAGACACCGGTACTACAGTGTAGCCCTGCCAAGAGCGCCAAGCCCTAAGATGGAGGGATGGACACGCGTTTGAGCTCTATCACATACTCCAAGGTAGCACCATCCGGGACAGCAACCCCGCTGTCAATCGTTTCGCCGCCGCCCTGCCCGTTCCCGCGATCTGCGGGCACGAAAACATTTCTCCTGCCGCCCGCCCGCATAGTCGCCATGGCCGACACCAGCCCCTCCGTCATCCCCTTGGCGAACGGCCGAACGCCAAACGAGAACACCAGGTCACGCGCCCCTGGCGCTGAAGTGTCTATGAATGTAACGGGCTCGGCTTGTCCTGGTAACGAGGCGCGGCCTGTCAGGGAGACGAGCACCAGGTCTCCCTTCTGGGGCATGGCGCCTCCCCCCACTCGCAGATCGATGAACCGCACTCCGTTGGGCAGCACTGTCTCCTCTGCATCCTCCACATCCCTGGTGTTGGTGTTGGGGTGGGAGAGGAGGGAAAGGGAGGGGGGAGATAGGGAAGGACAGCGAGAGGTGACTGTTCAGCAGAATCAGCAGCCTGGTCTGGCGCCTTCTGGTAACGAGGCGAAGCCTGTAAGGGAGACGGGCACCAGGTCCCCCCTCTGGGGCATGGCGCCTCCCCCCACTCTCAGATCGATGAACCACACTCCGTTGGGCAGCACTGTTTCGTCTCCGTCCTCCACGTCCCTGCCAGTCAGTAGTGAGGGGGGGCAATGGAAGGTCACGAGAGGTGAGAGTGAGGAGAGTCAGAGGTCAACACAGCTGGCATTCCCCGCAACTCCCAGATCGGTGAATCTGACTCTGTTGGACAGCACGGTTTCTTCTGCATCCTCCACATCCTTGGTGTTGGTGTGCGTGTGGGCGGGGGGGGGGGGGGGGGGAAGGGGAAGAGGGAGAGAGAGAAAAGATTGGAAGACTCTTTCGTCACCTGGAATGGTGTAACATGACTGTTAAGCAGAATCAGCAGCCTGGTCTGGCGCCTTCTGGTAACGAGACGAAGCCTGTAAGGGAGACGAGCACCAGGTCCCCCTTCTGGGGCATGTCGCCTCCCCCCACTCTCGGATGGGTGAGTCTGAGTCCGCCACACCAGTGGCGTGAGAGAGAAGAGGCGGGGAAAGGGGGTTGACTGGCGCATTGATTCGAGAATCGCCTGTCGGGAGTTACTAGGTACGCAGGTGACTATCAAGGCAGGCACCCGAGTCGTGGGTCCCATAATCACCCCGAGCTCCAAGAAGAAAGGGTGGGAGTAGGAAAGGGTGGGAGTAGGAAAGGGTGGGAGTAGGAAAGGGTGGGAGGAGGAAAGGGTGGGAGTAGGAAAGGGTGGGAGTAGGAAAGGGTGGGAGTAGGAAAGGGTGGGAGAAGGAAAGGGAGGGAGGAGGAAAGGGTGGGAGTAGGAAATGGTGGGAGTAGGAAAGGGTGGGAGTAGGAAAGGGTGGGAGAAGGAAAGGGTGGGAGAAAGAAAGGGTGGGAGAAGGAAAGGGTGGGAGAAGGAAAGGGTGGGAGTAGGAAAGGGTGGGAGAAGGAAAGGGTGGGAGTAGGAAAGGGTGGGAGTAGGAAAGGGTGGGAGAAGGAAAGGGTGGGAGAAGGAAAGGGTGGGAGTAGGAAAGGGTGGGAGAAGGAAAGGGTGGGAGGAGGAAAGGGTGGGAGGAGGAAAGGGTGGGAGTAGGAAAGGGTGGGAGTAGGAAAGGGTGGGAGAAGGAAAGGGTGGGAGTAGGAAAGGGTGGGAGTAGGAAAGGGTGGGAGTAGGAAAGGGTGGGAGTAGGAAAGGGTGGGAGTAGGAAAGGGTGCGAGAAGGAAAGGGTGCGAGAAGGAAAGGGTGGGAGTAGGAAAGGGTGGGAGAAGGAAAGGGTGGGAGGAGGAAAGGGTGGGAGTAGGAAAGGGTGGGAGTAGGAAAGGGTGGGAGTAGGAAAGGGTGGGAGTAGGAAAGGGTGGGAGAAGGAAAGGGTGGGAGGAGGAAAGGGTGGGAGTAGGAAAGGGTGGGAGTAGGAAAGGGTGGGAGAAGGAAAGGGTGGGAGTAGGAAAGGGTGGGAGTAGGAAAGGGTGGGAGAAGGAAAGGGTGGGAGTAACAAAGGGTGGGAGAAGGAAAGGGTGGGAGAAGGAAAGAGTGGGAGTAGGAAAGGGTGGGAGTAGGAAAGGGTGGGAGTAGGAAAGGGTGGGAGTAGGAAAGGGTGGGAGAAGGAAAGGGTGGGAGTAGGAAAGGGTGGGAGTAGGAAAGGGTGGGAGAAGGAAAGGGTGGGAGGAGGAAAGGGTGGGAGTAGGAAAGGGTGGGAGTAGGAAAGGGTGGGAGAAGGAAAGGGTGGGAGTAGGAAAGGGTGGGAGAAGGAAAGGGTGGGAGTAGGAAAGGGTGGGAGTAGGAAAGGGTGGGAGTAGGAAAGGGTGGGAGAAGGAAAGGGTGGGAGTAGGAAAGGGTGGGAGTAGGAAAGGGTGGGAGAAGGAAAGGGTGGGAGGAGGAAAGGGTGGGAGTAGGAAAGGGTGGGAGTAGGAAAGGGTGGGAGAAGGAAAGGGTGGGAGTAGGAAAGGGTGGGAGAAGGAAAGGGTGGGAGTAGGAAAGGGTGGGAGTAGGAAAGGGTGGGAGAAGGAAAGGGTGGGAGAAGGAAAGGGTGGGAGAAGGAAAGGGTGGGAGGAGGAAAGGGTGGGAGTAGGAAAGGGTGGGAGTAGGAAAGGGTGGGAGAAGGAAAGGGTGGGAGTAGGAAAGGGTGGGAGTAGAAAAGGGTGGGAGTAGGAAAGGGTGGGAGTAGGAAAGGGTGGGAGTAGGAAAGGGTGGGAGTAGGAAAGGGTGGGAGAAGGAAAGGGTGGGAGAAGGAAAGGGTGGGAGTAGGAAAGGGTGGGAGAAGGAAAGGGTGGGAGGAGGAAAGGGTGGGAGTAGGAAAGGGTGGGAGTAGGAAAGGGTGGGAGAAGGAAAGGGTGGGAGTAGGAAAGGGTGGGAGTAGGAAAGGGTGGGAGTAGGAAAGGGTGGGAGTAGGAAAGGGTGGGAGTAGGAAAGGGTGGGAGAAGGAAAGGGTGGGAGAAGGAAAGGGTGGGAGTAGGAAAGGGTGGGAGAAGGAAAGGGTGGGAGGAGGAAAGGGTGGGAGGAGGAAAGGGTGGGAGTAGGAAAGGGTGGGAGTAGGAAAGGGTGGGAGAAGGAAAGGGTGGGAGTAGGAAAGGGTGGGAGTAGGAAAGGGTGGGAGAAGGAAAGGGTGGGAGGAGGAAAGGGTGGGAGTAGGAAAGGGTGGGAGTAGGAAAGGGTGGGAGAAGGAAAGGGTGGGAGAAGGAAAGGGTGGGAGAAGGAAAGGGTGGGAGGAGGAAAGGGTGGGAGTAGGAAAGGGTGGGAGTAGGAAAGGGTGGGAGAAGGAAAGGGTGGGAGTAGGAAAGGGTGGGAGTAGAAAAGGGTGGGAGTAGGAAAGGGTGGGAGTAGGAAAGGGTGGGAGTAGGAAAGGGTGGGAGTAGGAAAGGGTGGGAGAAGGAAAGGGTGGGAGAAGGAAAGGGTGGGAGAAGGAAAGAGTGGGAGTAGGAAAGGGTGGGAGGAGGAAAGGGTGGGAGTAGGAAAGGGTGGGAGTAGGAAAGGGTGGGAGAAGGAAAGGGTGGGAGTAGGAAAGGGTGGGAGTAGGAAAGGGTGGGAGTAGGAAAGGGTGGGAGTAGGAAAGGGTGGGAGTAGGAAAGGGTGGGAGAAGGAAAGGGTGGGAGTAGGAAAGGGTGGGAGAAGGAAAGGGTGGGAGTAGGAAAGGGTGGGAGTAGGAAAGGGTGGGAGTAGGAAAGGGTGGGAGAAGGAAAGGGTGGGAGTAGGAAAGGGTGGGAGTAGGAAAGGGTGGGAGAAGGAAAGGGTGGGAGGAGGAAAGGGTGGGAGTAGGAAAGGGTGGGAGTAGGAAAGGGTGGGAGAAGGAAAGGGTGGGAGAAGGAAAGGGTGGGAGAAGGAAAGGGTGGGAGGAGGAAAGGGTGGGAGTAGGAAAGGGTGGGAGTAGGAAAGGGTGGGAGAAGGAAAGGGTGGGAGTAGGAAAGGGTGGGAGTAGGAAAGGGTGGGAGTAGGAAAGGGTGGGAGTAGGAAAGGGTGGGAGTAGGAAAGGGTGGGAGTAGGAAAGGGTGGGAGAAGGAAAGGGTGGGAGAAGGAAAGGGTGGGAGTAGGAAAGGGTGGGAGAAGGAAAGGGTGGGAGGAGGAAAGGGTGGGAGTAGGAAAAGGTGGGAGTAGGAAAGGGTGGGAGAAGGAAAGGGTGGGAGTAGGAAAGGGTGGGAGTAGGAAAGGGTGGGAGTAGGAAAGGGTGGGAGTAGGAAAGGGTGGGAGTAGGAAAGGGTGGGAGAAGGAAAGGGTGGGAGAAGGAAAGGGTGGGAGTAGGAAAGGGTGGGAGAAGGAAAGGGTGGGAGGAGGAAAGGGTGGGAGTAGGAAAGGGTGGGAGTAGGAAAGGGTGGGAGTAGGAAAGGGTGGGAGAAGGAAAGGGTGGGAGTAGGAAAGGGTGGGAGTAGGAAAGGGTGGGAGTAGGAAAGGGTGGGAGTAGGAAAGGGTGGGAGTAGGAAAGGGTGGGAGAAGGAAAGGGTGGGAGAAGGAAAGGGTGGGAGTAGGAAAGGGTGGGAGTAGGAAAGGGTGGGAGTAGGAAAGGGTGGGAGTAGGAAAGGGTGGGAGTAGGAAAGGGTGGGAGTAGGAAAGGGTGGGAGAAGGAAAGGGTGGGAGAAGGAAAGGGTGGGAGGAGGAAAGGGTGGGAGTAGGAAAGGGTGGGAGAAGGAAAGGGTGGGAGTAGGAAAGGGTGGGAGAAGGAAAGGGTGGGAGAAGGAAAGGGTGGGAGGAGGAAAGGGTGGGAGTAGGAAAGGGTGGGAGAAGGAAAGGGTGGGAGAAGGAAAGGGTGGGAGAAGGAAAGGGTGAGAGTAGGAAAGGGTGGGAGAAGGAAAGGGTGGGAGTAGGAAAGGGTGGGAGTAGGAAAGGGTGGGAGTAGGAAAGGGTGGGAGAAGGAAAGGGTGGGAGGAGGAAAGGGTGGGAGTAGGAAAGGGTGGGAGAAGGAAAGGGTGGGAGAAGGAAAGGGTGGGAGAAGGAAAGGGTGAGAGTAGGAAAGGGTGGGAGAAGGAAAGGGTGGGAGTAGGAAAGGGTGGGAGTAGGAAAGGGTGGGAGAAGGAAAGGGTGAGAGTAGGAAAGGGTGGGAGAAGGAAAGGGTGGGAGTAGGAAAGTGTGGGAGAAGGAAATGGTGGGAGAAGGAAAGGGTGGGAGAAGGAAAGGGTGAGAGTAGGAAAGGGTGGGAGTAGGAAAGGGTGGGAGAAGGAACGGGTGGGAGAAGGAAAGGGTGGGAGGAGGAAAGGGTGGGAGTAGGAAAGGGTGGGAGAAGGAAAGGGTGGGAGAAGGAAAGGGTGGGAGAAGGAAAGGGTGAGAGTAGGAAAGGGTGGGAGTAGGAAAGGGTGGGAGTAGGAAAGGGTGGGAGTAGGAAAGGGTGGGAGTAGGAAAGGGTGGGAGAAGGAAAGGGTGGGAGAAGGAAAGGGTGGGAGTAGGAAAGGGTGGGAGTAGGAAAGGGTGGGAGTAGGAAAGGGTGGGAGAAGGAAAGGGTGGGAGAAGGAAAGGGTGGGAGAAGGAAAGGGTGGGAGTAGGAAAGGGTGGGAGAAGGAAAGGGTGGGAGGAGGAAAGGGTGGGAGTAGGAAAGGGTGGGAGAAGGAAAGGGTGGGAGAAGGAAAGGGTGGGAGAAGGAAAGGGTGAGAGTAGGAAAGGGTGGGAGAAGGAAAGGGTGGGAGTAGGAAAGGGTGGGAGAAGGAAAGGGTGAGAGTAGGAAAGGGTGGGAGAAGGAAAGGGTGGGAGTAGGAAAGGGTGGGAGAAGGAAAGGGTGGGAGGAGGAAAGGGTGGGAGTAGGAAAGGGTGGGAGAAGGAAAGGGTGGGAGAAGGAAAGGGTGGGAGAAGGAAAGGGTGAGAGTAGGAAAGGGTGGGAGAAGGAAAGGGTGGGAGTAGGAAAGGGTGGGAGTAGGAAAGGGTGGGAGAAGGAAAGGGTGGGAGTAGGAAAGGGTGGGAGTAGGAAAGGGTGGGAGTAGGAAAGGGTGGGAGTAGGAAAGGGTGGGAGAAGGAAAGGGTGGGAGAAGGAAAGGGTGGGAGAAGGAAAGGGTGGGAGAAGGAAAGGGTGGGAGAAGGAAAGGGTGAGAGTAGGAAAGGGTGGGAGAAGGAAAGGGTGGGAGTAGGAAAGGGTGGGAGTAGGAAAGGGTGGGAGAAGGAAAGGGTGGGAGAAGGAAAGGGTGGGAGTAGGAAAGGGTGGGAGTAGGAAAGGGTGGGAGAAGGAAAGGGTGGGAGAAGGAAAGGGTGGGAGTAGGAAAGGGTGGGAGTAGGAAAGGGTGGGAGGAGGAAAGGGTGGGAGTAGGAAAGGGTGGGAGAAGGAAAGGGTGGGAGAAGGAAAGGGTGGGAGTAGGAAAGGGTGGGAGTAGGAAAGGGTGGGAGTAGGAAAGGGTGGGAGTAGGAAAGGGTGGGAGTAGGAAAGGGTGGGAGAAGGAAAGGGTGGGAGAAGGAAAGGGTGGGAGAAGGAAAGGGTGGGAGTAGGAAAGGGTGGGAGAAGGAAAGGGTGGGAGGAGGAAAGGGTGGGAGTAGGAAAGGGTGAGAGTAGGAAAGGGTGGGAGAAGGAAAGGGTGGGAGTAGGAAAGGGTGGGAGTAGGAAAGGGTGGGAGAAGGAAAGGGTGGGAGAAGGAAAGGGTGGGAGTAGGAAAGGGTGGGAGTAGGAAAGGGTGGGAGTAGGAAAGGGTGGGAGTAGGAAAGGGTGGGAGAAGGAAAGGGTGGGAGAAGGAAAGGGTGGGAGAAGGAAAGGGTGGGAGTAGGAAAGGGTGGGAGAAGGAAAGGGTGGGAGGAGGAAAGGGTGGGAGTAGGAAAGGGTGGGAGAAGGAAAGGGTGGGAGAAGGAAAGGGTGGGAGAAGGAAAGGGTGAGAGTAGGAAAGGGTGGGAGAAGGAAAGGGTGGGAGTAGGAAAGGGTGGGAGTAGGAAAGGGTGGGAGTAGGAAAGGGTGGGAGAAGGAAAGGGTGAGAGTAGGAAAGGGTGGGAGAAGGAAAGGGTGGGAGTAGGAAAGTGTGGGAGAAGGAAATGGTGGGAGAAGGAAAGGGTGGGAGAAGGAAAGGGTGAGAGTAGGAAAGGGTGGGAGAAGGAAAGGGTGGGAGTAGGAAAGGGTGGGAGAAGGAAAGGGTGGGAGGAGGAAAGGGTGGGAGTAGGAAAGGGTGGGAGAAGGAAAGGGTGGGAGAAGGAAAGGGTGGGAGAAGGAAAGGGTGAGAGTAGGAAAGGGTGGGAGAAGGAAAGGGTGGGAGTAGGAAAGGGTGGGAGTAGGAAAGGGTGGGAGAAGGAAAGGGTGGGCGTATTTAGGAAATGTAGTGAGATTCGCTTTGAGAATGCTCAGATTATGCCGACTACGACGTCAAGAACCCTACCCACGGCACACGCTTGCAACGCCAAGAGTCTTAACTACGCCAGAAGCCACTCACCGCTACACGAGTCGCCTTACCTCGTGTTGCTCTCCTCCAGGAACACCTCGCGGCGCGTCTTAATCTGCTCCGAGACCACTCCGAACGCCAGGAATCCCACCCACGCCAGCCCCGCGCCGATGCCGAACCTCCGCGTCACTGCCGAAGCTATCCAGTCCGTCGAATCCGCCGAGCGTCGGGACCGGCCGGCTGATGACGTGGCAGATGACTGGGTCTGCCCGCCAGAGTCGGTAACCCGTTCAGTTGGCGCTGACCTGACGTCATTAGCGTCAGGTTTGGAAGGCAGCGACGTGGCAGAGGAAATTTCCGCAGGAGAAATTTTATCATCGGAGTTGGAGGAAGAGGCGGAAACGCGAAGGCGCGGCGGGTGTGACGCTAACGGGCGGGAGACACTAACGAGCGGCGTAAATGACAATTTGGGTTTTCCAGCAAATGTACTGATGTTGCAGGGGGGATAACCCCATGGCGTCCTAGACGTTGACGGAAGAGCAATCGGTAAAGCCATGGCGTCGGGATGGAACGTGATGCCACGCGGCAGCAGTTGATGACTTGAAGGTCATAGAGATTGGCGATGGTGCTCTTGAATGGTCGCCTCGATATTAGACACAATTCCTACATTTTCAAGGAAGTTCAAGGTACACTTATACTAGATAAATGAAGAAGTTCAACAGTTGGTTGTCGAAAAGACACTCAGTACAGTAAAACGTGAACATGCAACTGGACCAGCACTGGAAGGCAAGCAACCTCAGATGTTTGTCCTCACGCCACGCATCATCTCATCACAAGCGGGAACAGGCTGGCTCTCAATTTACACAATCAGGAATTAGATGTGCCCTTGAAACCTCGTGGAAAGGGGTTTCTTCTCTCATTACTTTTTCCATATGTGGGAAATGAGGCTTGTCCAGTATCCACTCCTCGTCCAAACCAGCGACTGGTACATACGTAGTTTATTCCATAAACTGCCGTAAGCTCTGGGCAGCTCCGTCATATTCCCCTAGACTGGACCAGGCCAGGCAGCAGTGGTGCCTGTGGTTACGTTTGTCGTTTGAGCTTGATTACGGTTTCATACGATTCGTCGACACAAACGCCACACTGTGTGTGTGCACTGTGCAGGATGGACAAATGCTGTGTTGTGTGACAGAATTTTCTCTGCCCGCCATACGTTCCCCTTACAAAAGGAGCCCCTTTCCCCACCAATACAGTAACAACTGTTTTGTTTTCCTGCACGTAGGTTCCCTTGCATTCCAGGTTTTCCCGGGCAGAAAAACACATTCCCCAAGCTGCACCTCATCCCCCCAGGCAGATCCAATTATTCGAGAACCGCATCACTTGAAAAGCTTCCTCACCTCGAGATTCGAGAATCTCCTCGCCTTGCAAATTTCCCCCCTCGGTTGTACTGTACTGTATGCACTGTCTGTGCTTCCCCACATTCGTACAGTAACGTCATCCTGTCAAAAACAGCTCTCCGGGCAGAAAGCACCCACAATGTCCATTCCATCGCCCCGTTTCTCCTTCCTCTTCTTTTCTGTACGCGGTTTGTCGCCACAGCAACATTGAACATCGTGGGTTGGGGCAGTCACTCTCAAGACATGGGCGCCGAACAGGCGAGGAGCTGCCGCGTACAGATAGGTGGGTGGGTCGAGTCGAGTCCTGCTGTCGAGAGGACGCGGTAAAAGTTGGCAATGTCAAGCAGATGACCCGTCACCGCATTCAAACATAATTTAAGCCTTATACTTCCTCAAAACCGTGTCCAACCCCGCTGGAAACTGATCCTGAGGCAATCGATCCACCACCACCTCAACTTCACCGCGTCCAAGGATGTAAGAAGCAGCCTCAGTCACAAGTTATGGCATCTTAGTTGCTTGTACAGAGCCAGCCAGTGGGTCTTCGAATGAAGCTGTAAACTCGCCAGCAATGCGAACTCCCGTTATTTGGGGCCGCCCTCGACATCCCACGATCGTCTTGCACAGCCAGCGCTGCAGTACTAGCTGTGACTAGAGCCAAGGCTTGAACATTCTCTAAGCCAATCTTAGCCGCCTTAGCGTCGGCCGCTTGCGCCTTACTGATGACGAGCCGCGGCAAGTCCGCGCGACCGAACCACCACCACCATCACCAACATCGCCTCGATTCTGGCCCCATCAAAGGGAGCCCCCGAGACCAAACTGCCACCTCCGTGCCCTCTGCGCCGTCAGTGCCCTCTGTGCCGTCAGTGCCGCCGAAGCAGAGCCTGCTACAGGAATCGCCGTATCACCGCAAGTCTGCTGTGACTCCCAGGCCAGCCTCTCAGCCGCCCTGGCAGTGGGATTCGGGAGTCGAGTCGCCCGACTCTCCGCTTCACCCGCTAGCGGGATCTCAGGAGAATCTCTGCGGGGGCTTGACCGACGCGACTACTTCGGACTCTGAGACCCATTTTCGCACCATGTCGTCGGACGACATCTCTCCAATGTCGGCGCGCTCGTTGGGTGAAGTTTCGGGTGCGACAGGCGCTGGTTTGCGCGCAAATCGTTTCCCGGTGATGGCGTCGCAGCATCTGCAGCATGAAACCCGCTTCGAGCAGTCGCAGCAGAGTAGTTATGGGTCTGCGGCAGAAACCCGACACGCCGCGTCGCGTCGCGTCAAAGGAGGCGGATCCGCGATTGACGCCGCCTCAGTAAACGCCTTCGGACCGCTGTGGGCCCCAGAAGTGGCGGGTTCGGACCGCGGAAGTGGCGGGAGCGGCAGATACCGAGTACCGTTCCAAGATAATCTACAGACGGCCTTAGACCCGTGGGAAATGGCGCAAGCTTGCGATCTCTGGGCGGAAGCGTACGAGGGACCCATTCCCGCAATCCGCGCGCCGGCGCTCGGCGCGCGGGGGGCCAGTGGCGCGTCCCATTTCGGTGAAACCGACGACGGGACTGCGTGGGCAATCCCCGGCGACGACGACGACGGCGACGACGACGGCGGCGACGACGACGACGGCGACGACGGCGGCGACGACGACGACGGCTACGACGACGACGTCGACGACGACGGCGACGACGTTGGCGACGGCGCGTCGTCGCTCCCTCCGCTCGCTGCGCCTTCGCCATTCGAGGGCGCGCTCAGACGCAGCGCGACGACGCCGGCGCTCGTGGATCCCGCGAGGCGCTGCGGAGATTTCGAACCCGCGGCGATGGCCGCGGCTAGAAGAACGGCAACGGCTACTAACAGTGGCAGTGGTGGTGCCTACAGCGTCAGGCCCATTCGCTCCTCCGCTGGACCCTTCGATGCGCGCTTTGGCTGCGGTTCCAGGGGCGACAGCCCGTTGACGGCGCGTTTTGGCGGCGACGGCGGCGACGGCGGCAGCGGAGGCGGCGTGTCGGATGCTCGTGTGGCGGAAGCGGCTTTTTATGATGTGGCGGATGGGCCGTTTGTCGCAGAAGGAGCGTCGCCGCAGTGGGACGATGTCGCGGTGGGGGTTTCGCATGACGTCGCGGACGTCGCGCCGGATGCGGAGGCAGCAGAGGACGAGGAGGAAGAGGAGGAGGGAGAAGACGTCAACGAGGAGGAGGAGGAGGACGAGGCAGATCTGTGCTTGCTTCGAGCGAGGACGCTCCCGTTGCTTCACGTCGAGCGCACGGCGTCCGCTGGAAGGGCGGCGGGTCGTGATCCTTCGGGGTCGATGGGCGCTGGCGATGCGGCTGACGACGAGGAGGACAATGACGATGATCTGTATCCTGGTGAGCTAATAACGCGTATGGGTCCTTAGTCGTTCCCGCGTCAAGTGGTCTTTCCGTCTTAAATGCATCACGGTAAAATATGTAAAATTTGTAGCCAAGTAGATTTCTTTAGTTGCAATTCCAAGATACACGAGCCGTGGCCTGGCCTCTCCTCCGCCCTACGCTATTCGGCACGATTTCTTAAGTGTGAAAGGACAGGATTCCTCTCCGTGTGAATCCTGTCCTTTCACACGCGTTTTATTAGTCCGACTGCTTTCGCTTTTTCCTAGCGTCGCGTCGGCTGTCTGGTCTCTTGCCGTCCCAGCGACTCGGCTTCTCCATCTTTCCTCACGTCGTCATGCCGCACCTCGTCGTTCCGAGCCTCGTTTTTCCGAGCCTCGCCTTCATCGTCATTCCGAACCTCTTCACCTCGAACCTCGTTCTTCCGAACCTCGTTTTCCCGCGTCTCATGATTCCGGACCTCGTCATTCTGAATCTCATTGTGCCGCACCTAACCATGTCGCACCGTCCCCGTCCCTCCCCCACGCCGCAGAGCTACGGATGTGTCACACAACGCGCGGCCGCATCCAACGGCCCATGGCGCCTCCGCCGTACGCTCGCGGCCCTGAGTCACAGGGGGTTATCGGTGCGCAGTACCACGTGCATCCTTCTTATAAGGAGCACCGCTACTGTCCGCAGCCTCAGGTTGGTGCTCAGGTGGTGCAATCGCATCCTCTATTCCTTGAGCAGGAGCAGCTGCCGTCGTACAGTCAGCAGAATGACGCCAGGTGGCTGACGGAAGGGCATCCGCAACAGCAGAGCGAGTTTTATCAGCTGCAGCAGCAGCAGCAGCAACAACAACAATGGCAGCACAAGCAGCAGCAGCAGCAGCAGCAGCAGCAGGAACAACTATGGCAGCGTCAGCAACAGCAGCAGCAGCACCGCGGCCGGAGCCATCGACGCACGTTCTCAGACTTCTCTGACGTCATCATGGCGTCAGCTCACACCGCCGCGCAGCCTTGTAATCTACAGAGTCCCATTGCCGCTGCGCCAACTTATCGTGAAGCTTATGTGCACGCAGCACCGGTTGTAGCGCCGGCTGTAGCGCTAGCAGCTGCCGATGCAAGATATGGTGTGGAGAGGGGTCAAAGCGGGAGGTTTGCGGAGGCTGTAGCTGGCGGAGGAGTGGCAGGAGTAGATGTAGCGGCCTGGATACCGCCTCCCGGGGGAACAGCCGCCGCTCAGTCGCCACTGGGGGGGCAGCGTCCAGGAGCAGGAGGCTGGATGCCCCCTCCCCCAGCAGACGCCGCCAGGCAACGCCTGCACCGCCGCACGGTCTCTGACCTCTCCGATGTCTTCCCTGCTCCGGGTGCTGCCGTAGCTGTAGCCGCCGCTACAGCAGGGAGGTTTGGTGCTACACCCGGGGGGAACGCTGGGCACGCAGCAGCTGTAGGGCCGGCTGGGCGTGCTGCTGCTACAACCGGATACAGCCATTCTGGCAGCTTTCGCGGCAGCGGGGTGATAGTGCAGTGCGGCAGGAGCAGCAGTGGCGGTAGTGCTGTGCCTGTGGTGGTGTATGAAGGGGCTAACAGGGGAGGGGAGAGTTGGAAATTGATGGAGAGCGTCGGTGCCAGGCCAAACATGGCTTCTGACGCTGCTGCTGCTGCTGCTGCTGCTGCTGCTGCTGCTGCTCGTGTCGGTGCTCCTCTCCCAAAGCAACAACAGCAGCAGCAGCAGCAGCAGCAGCAAGTGCCAATGCCGGTTCCATCCCTACAGCAGCAAGGCAGCAGGCGAAACATGCCCAGCTTTGCACCTCAGAAGAGCTTCAGTGGCGGTGCTGCCATTGGGCCTAAACCAATGCTGGGGCAGCCTCAAGCGAGTATGGAGAGGGCGAGGGGGAAGGGGCGAGGAGCAGGAGGAGGGGCAGCAACAGCAGCAACTGCGGCGGTGGCGGCAGTGGCAGCAGCAGCAGTAGCAGCAGCGGAAGGTAGCAGCATTGCGAACGGCGGAGGAGGAAGGGGGAGCCTAGGGGCGTCTGGGCGCAAAAGCGCGAGTAAGAGGCTCAGCTCGCTTGCTTCTGTGGCAAGGGCGCTAGGCGCGTTTGAACAGCAGACGGAGAGATGGAAGGAGCAGCAGGCGCTGGTAAAGGCTCAGGAAGAGGAGGAGGAGGGTGGGCGGGAGGGAGTGACAGGAGGAGGAACAGCAGCAGCAGGAGCAGCAGCAGCAGCAGCAGGTGGTGGTGCTCCCAAGACTCCGAGAGGTGTGTCTTTGAATAGGGATCCCACCATGGTTCGGGCCAACAGCAGCAGCAGCAGCAACAACAGTGGCGGCCACAGCAGCAGCAGTTCCATTCCTCCTAGAACACCCAAGACACCGTCAGCCGCAGCCCAAGGCTCTGGCGCTAAATCTGCCTGGGCTCCCGCCGGTGCTGCTCCTGCTGCCGCTCCTGGTGCTGCTGGTGCTGCTGGTGCTGCTGGTGCTGCTGGTGCTGCTGGTGCTGCTGGTGCTGCTGGTGCTGGTGCTGGTGCTGCTGCTCCTGCTGTTTCTGGTGTTTCTGGTGCTGTTGCTGTCCCTGCTGCCCTTCTCTCGGCTCTTCATTCTGCTGCCCCTGCCCCTGCCCCTGCACGCTCTAATACTTTCTCCCGAGGAGCACCTTCCGGCCCTGTGCCGCCCAAAGCACCGCCCGCATCGCAATCATTGAAAGGTCTCGCGGCACAGTCGTTCAAAGGATCTCAGCCGTCCAGAGCGCCACAGCAGCAGCAGCAGCAGCAGCAACCGAAGACACCAACTGTCCAGCGAAGTTCAACAGGCATGTGGGGAGGAAGGGTGGGAGGAGGGGGAGGAGGAAGTGGGGGAGTAGGAGGAGAAAGAGGAGGAGGAGCACGCGTGGCACCTGTCAGTCTGCCACCGTTAAATCTTCAAGAGGAGGAGGAGGAGGAGCAGCAGCAGCAGCATCAGCAGCAGCAGCAGATGCCTCTTGGCAGGAGGGCCGTCGCTGCTTCCTCTACTGGACTCCCCCTGAGGGCTCCAACGACGCCTGGAGGGAGGCTTCAGCGGCGGATGGAGGAGGATGAGTCGGAGGGGGAGGGGGAGGGGGAGGGGGAGAGGGGGAGAGGAGGGGGTGGGGGAGATGGTGGCAGGGCTGGTACTGCTGCTGGTAAGGGGTTGCTTGTAACGGCTCCAACGACCCCTGGAGGGAGGCTGCAGCGACGGTTGGAGGAGGATGATTCAGAAGGGGAGGGGGAGGGGGAAAGGGCAAAGGGGAGCGGAAGGGATGGGGGTGGCGCGGGTAGAGGAGTGGCCAGTGGGAAGCAGCCTGCGCCTGGCGGGAGGCGGAGAGGGTCGTTCAACAGACGAAGGACGGAGAGCAAGGGCCGGAGCATGGGGGAAAGGGAAGACTGGGGCGGGGAGGTGCTTTGTGGGGAGGGGCAACCAGGGGAGGCGATGCTGGAAGGAGAAAGGGGGAGGGCTGTTACACCTGGGAGCGGCAGAAGGCTGCAAAGAAGCATGGATGAGGGGGAGGGGGAGGGGGAGGGGGAGGAGGGGAAGAAGGTTGGGGAGAGGCAGATGGGGGAGGCTGCTTCTGGGGGAGGTGGTGAGAGTCGGCAAGGTCCTGCTCCTGGTAAGCCGGCGAGGAAAGGAGGAAAGCTGCAGATAGGCCTGGAGAGCGACGAAGAGGGGGAGGAGGGGGAGGAGGAGGGTGGGAGGAGAAAAGAGGGGAGGGGTGTTCCAAGGAAAGAGGAGATGAACAAGGAGCGAGGGGGAGAGGTTTCTCGTTCGGGCTCCGGTAGTCACGGGAGCAAGGAAGAGGGGAAGCTTGGGAAGAAAAGGGAGGGGGATATGAATGGGGAAGAGGGGAAGAGGGGGGACCTGAGTGGGAAAAAGCCGATCCAATTTTCTAATGATGGTGGCGTTGACTGTAGCGGAGGCGAGTGTGACGGAGGTGGGGGTGGTATGCAAGAGCACGAGGAGGGGAGCAACGGGGAAGATCAGGCGGCTGCTGCTGCTGATGCTGATGCTGCTGCTGCTGGTGCTGCTGCTGGTGCTGCTGCTGCTACTGATGTTGATGGTGATGTTGATGAGATGAAGACAGATGTGGCTGGAAACCCGAACGGGGAGAAGGGCGAGGGCAGGAAGCCAAGCAGGCTGCAGAGGAGGATTGACGATGATGATAGCGAGGAGGAGGAGCAGCAGAGGGGATCGGGCAGGATGGGTGAGAGAGCACTGAGTCGAGCGACCAGGCCAAAGGGAGGGAGGAGGGAGCGGGAGCAGCCGGCCCGACGCACCAAGTCGTTTGTTGCGGGGGAAGGAGGTGGGGATGGAACCGTGGAGGGCGAGAGGCAGGGGGAGAGGAGCGAAGGAGAGAAGATGACAAAGAAAGGAAGCAAGGATATGGACAGGGAAAGGAGGTTTAAAGGGAGCGGGGATATGGATAGAGAGAGGAGGAGTAAAGGGAGCAGCGATATGGAGCAGGAGAAGAGAGTGAAGGAGGAGGAGGAAGTGGAGGAGGAAGTGGAGGAGGAAGTGGAGGAGGAAGTGGAGGAGGAGCAGAAAGTGGAGGCGATTCCCAAGGAGAGGAGCAGGGGGAGCAGGCGGCTGCAGCGAAGCCTAGAGGATGACGATGAGGAGGAGGAGCATTGCGAGAAGGATAAGAAGGCTGGTTACCAGGGTGAGGAGGGGAGGAGGATTGGTGTGGATGGTGCAGGAGGGAGTAGGAGAGGAAAGAGCGGAAGGAAGTCCAGTGGAGAGGGGATTGGTAGTGGTAGGAGGGAGGTTGGGAGCGGTAGGAGGGAGGTTGGGAGCGGTAGGAGGGAGGTTGGTAGCGGTAGGGAGGGTGGGAGCAGTCGGAAAACTGGGTTGGGAGGAGTGGGGAGGGATGATGGTGGGAAGACGGAGGATGAAGGTGAGAGGGAGGGGGAGAGGAAGAGGAGGGGGAGGGATGACAAAGCAATGGAAAAGGAGAAAGGGAAGGGGAAGGGGAGGGGCGGGAGCAAAGGCAGTGGGAGGCGGGAAACGGTGGATTTTTCCGTTAAGGCAACGAGATTTTTTGCCGAAAGCACGGATAGCAATGGGGACTCTCGTGCTGGTGGTGCTGCTGCTGGTGGTGCATTGCCGTGCAAGTCCCCCAAAGGCAACCACGAGGGGTTGTCCTTTCTTGGAAGCTTGAAGAGCTTTCGATTCGGCCCTGACGTGCGGGCCTTGTGGTCCCGAACCAAGACTCTGAACGAGAGGGATGGGGAGGCGAGGAAGAAGAGGGAGGAGAGGAGTAGGAAGGAGGGTGAGGGAGAGGAGGAGGAGGAGGAGGAGGGGCAGGTGGTTGAAGGGAGGGGGGGCAGAGCGGAAGGGAAGCAGCAAGGGGAGGCTGGGCTCTCGTGGTCTCGAACCAAGACGATGAATGAGGGGGATGGGCAGGCGAGGAAGAGGGAGGAGAGGAGGAGGAAGGGGAGCGGGGGAGAGGGGGAGCATGAGGGGAGAAAGGGGGCAGAGGGAGTTGAGATTGGGGCACCATGGTCCCGCTCCAGGACCATGAATGAGAGAGATGGGGAGGGGAGGAAGAGGGAGGAGAGGAGGCGGAGGAAGGGGAGTGGAAGTGGAGGGGAGGAGGGTGGGCTGAATGCTTCTGGGATGGATGAAACGGGTGGGTTGAAACGCCCCAGTAAGGATGCTACGGGCGTCCGAACGATCTTGATTGACAGAGGCAATGATGAGGAGAGGGAGGAGGAGAAGAGGGAAGAGCAAGAAGAGCAGGAGGAGCAGGAAGGGGAGAAAGGGGAGCGGGATGCAAATGTGAATGCTCTAAGGGAACAGGAGCAGAAGGAGAAGCTGGAGTGGGTGGAGGGGGAGAAGCGGCTGCTGCATCTGCACCTGCAGCAGCTGGAGGAGCAGCAGCGGCAGCTGGAAGCAGAGATGGAGAGGCACAAGGCGCTGCTGGGGCTGGGGGCTGGGGAGTGAGAAGCAGGGATGAAACTAAGGAAGGAAGGAGCAGCAGAGAGGGGGGGAGGTGCTCAAGGCAGCGATGGGGAGGTGGAGGTGGGGGCGGGTGGCGGGTGGCGACAACCAGGGGCGGGTGACAGGCGCATGGGGTGACAAGTACGTTACACAAGGCTTCGAGTTTTTTTGTGTCTTGCTTTTTCTGGCCGATTCACCATTGGTCAGCAGTGGATTAGCGCCTCATTTGGGGGCAACGTCTGTGTGCATGCTAGGCTTGTTTCTGTAACACCATGTTTTTTGCAAGAAATTGATTTTGTCTTGCTATGAATGTTATGTTCTTTCATTTAATCAAGAATGTATGTTTACAGATACCGTAATCCCCCGTATATAACACCCGTCGGAATAGTCACTCCATGGGTGGTTAATACGGGGGGGAGCTTATGATATGGTGCATTTTTTAGAGTACCCGCTTTTCAGGTGACGAATTTTACATAACGCCCCCCCGTTTTTGTTGCTTGGAGTACACTGAGCCCATTGTACATTCAACCATATGGATCCTATCACTACAGCAACGCTACAACATGCTTGAATTCCTACTCATTGTTGCCTACCAGAATAGCATCCAGTGACTAGCGCAAGGCCTAGATCATGTCCTAGGGCTTTCAGATACAAATTAGGGACATCATTCACTACCTAGGACTCCTCGTCATCCTCATCTCCAGCGTGCCAAGCCTCTACGTCATCATCGTCGGCTGCAATATCGTCCCAATCATACTCTTCAGTCCAGCGGGAGGGGGACTGTCCAGCAAGTACCTCCGCCGCTGGCGCCATCTCTGCGGAGTCCACATCGCTGCTCTCCGTAGTGTCAGCCGCTTCAGGCGCAGTTGCAGCTGCTGCTTGTGTTGTCGATGTTGATGCTGCAGCGTTAAGTCGAGCCTCCGCCATTACAGAGGATTCTGCCACATCGGCCGCGCCAGGTGTCATTGGTGCATGCAGCGGCAGGTCGACGTCAACAGCGATGTCACACTCCTCGTCCTTCGAGAGCTTGTCGGCGGTCGGCACTACGAACTTGGCTTCGAAGAGGGGGTTCGTCTTCTCGCCGGTCGTCTCAACCCCCGCGTGCACATCGTCCATGACCTCCAGCTCCACCTTGTCGCGCGTGTGGGATGAGGTTGTCTTCGAGGCCATCGAGGTCGTTGGAGATGCCGCAGGTCTTGAAAGCCTTGCGGATGAGGTCGGCGGGGACTGCCTCCCAGGCGACCGCGATCCATTGCAGCACCACCTCCGCCGGAGGCTTCTTCAGATTTCCTGAAGGGCGGACAGGGTTGGGTGGAGATTACATCGCGCATTAGGCAAACCGAAGCGAGAATTGGAGCAACACGTCAAGGCATCGTAAAGAAAACGCTAAACAAGAACGTATGAAAAGCAGAGCTCAAGGGTGAGAAGGTTTTCACCTGCGGGAGTTGTCGAGTCGCAGCCGAACTCCTCAAACCAACCTGAGTAGGACCGGCGGACATGAGCCTTCAAGCATCGGTTCACAGCTACGTCGAGAGGTTGGACGATTGGCGTGCAGCCGCCAGGTATCACGGCACGTAAGAGTTTGAAGAGACGCGTCAACGCCGCCACCCCCTCAGTCAGATGGCCTTTGTAGGAGTCGAGGACAACGAGAGCCTTCTGCCACCCGCCACGGCGCGCAGGAAGTCGCTTCAGAAAGGGGACAAGGACTGTCGTAATCCAGTCCTTCACGTGGTCCTCATCCATCCATCCCTTCTCCTGTGCGCGGATGACGATTCCTGCATGCAATAATGAAAGAACCAGACAGCGTAGTGTTAGTTTCTAACTCCGGTCCATGTAACACTTAGTCACATCAAGACCCAATCGATACTAACCTGGCGGGACTCAAATCTTCGGGAGCGTCTTGCGCTTGAAGATCACATACGGCTTGAGCTTCTGCCCGCCAGCAGTGACCACTAGCATCACGGTCAACCGCTCCTTTTCGTAGCCAGCAGTGTGAACATGTACCGTCCTTGAACAGCGGACTTCCAGTGTAGTCTCTTGGGGCATTTCCAGGAACAAGGGCGTCTGATCGGCGTTGATGATCAAGTCGTCGGCATACTTGTTGAATGTGCGCATCTGGCGCACAAACTCCCAGAACTTCTCGACTTTAGCCTCGCAATATGCAAAACGAGGAAACAACATACGATGCGAGTGTACATGCTTAAGTTCTTACAACTCAATGACTGGGAAACCGCAAGCGAAATTGCTACAGAGCTCGCATATCAAGAACATAATGCACCGCTGCTTATGCACTGGCCCATCTTTGTCTTGACGCGCCGTGTCAATCCCCAACGCGTGCGGAACCGGAAGGTCCAACGGGATGACGCACGCCAGTCGACACCGGGATGGCGCTTCCGCATGAACTTCCTACTCCACTTCTGCAGACAATTGACCGACACCGCCAAGCCGCGCGCACGGTGTGAGAGGAAGCAGTTGTACATCTCCTTCTCCATATCAGGGAACTTCGCCTTGCGTCCAGCACCGATGAGACGACGCCTGCACCCCGCCGCCGCCGACAGCCGTGCCTTGTTCTTCTTCCACTCGCGTATTTGACAGGGTTGTACCTCGGCCATCTTCGCCAGCTTGCGATTCGAAAGCTTCGGGTCGGAGTCGAGATGGGCCAACCAGTATAGCTTTTTCGCCGCTGTGCGCGCGACTCTCTTGCGCCTGGTCCTGCGATTTCTGGGGGAGGGAGGTGCAGCATCCCGGTTAACTCGTGGCATGTGGGGACGACGAATGGGCTGAGGGAAAGATGGAACAATGACACGAGGAAGTGTCGGGGGTGACTCTGGCTCTCCGTCGGCAGCATCTTCCCAATGTAGCTCATCATCGTCCTGCCAGTCATTGTCCCACTCCTCGGGACGACTAGCAATCGAAGACGATGGATAGGGAGGTGCGGGAGGAGCAGGTGGGGCAGGAGGTGCAGGAGGCGCAGGAGGCACAGGCGGTGCTGGCGGCGCAGGTGGTGCTGGAGGAATCGACGGAAACGGACGGAGAAGAAACTGACTACCATGGGGTGGACGATGGGTTCGCAAAACTGAGAGGCCGCTAACAGCACGGGCCGCCATGGCTGAATCTCTGCCTACAAAATCGCCTCGGCGGACTAATGCCCGAGACTCTGTTAGAGAGCTTGGACATCGCGAGGGGTTTTCTGCTGGGAAGACAATACTGGAACGCTAAAATGACGCAGCGACAAAAAACGGATGAACAAGAAACGTGGGCCGACCCCCTACCCGAGTCGCGCACGGTTCTTGACAACCAAAAACACCATCGCATGCTAGCATGCGATGGTCTGGTCAAGAAGCTTCCAAAGGCATCTTGAGATGCCAGATTCCATCGCAGTTGTTGCGCTGGCAGCATCTAGTGCACATAGCCGTGCACTCGCAGCGCTGGCAGCTGATGGCAGCAATCCGCTTGATGTTGGCAGTTGCGACCGTTAGGGATTGGCCACAAATCCTATAACCCATGCCGAGTTCGACACGTTGGCATGGCCATCCTCTCATCCAAACAGCGCAAAACTCCCTAACAGAAACCCAATGCATGTATAAGCCTAGAAACAATCAGATTCAAAATGAATGATACTTGTCATCACACATGGGCGTTATATTTTTCCAGGCCACTGTTAACACCCAGTAATTTTTATAATGAACCATAGGGTGTTATATACGGGGGATTACGGTATTCAATTAGCTTGCACACGCTAAGTGGGTATCCTAAGTGTCAGAATTCAACCACTAACCACTGAGTTAAAAGGACTTGTTAAAACTGTAATTCCCTGGATACAGGCGCATAGGGGCTTATAGAAAATACCTGGCAAAAGTGGCATGCGCTTGTAATCGAATAAAATTTATAAGCCCAGGGCTTAACTGAGGGATTTTATGGAAAAAGAATTTGAGCACATAAAAATGTAGCGCTTGACATCTGTGTTCTAGCGCATTTGTTTCCGCTGGGCGGCATATTGACAAAACATGGGGAAATGGCCGACGAAGTTTCTGCCAGCAAATCCACCATACGATGGATGAATTTTCCAGCCAATCAGAGCCAAGGTAGGGAGCGAACATTGCGCATCTGGTTCGGGAGGCGCTAGGGGGGTTACGACTTAGACTTCGATATGAAGAATCTGTGTTTCACCGGTTGTTTTACAAAAATAATATGCGCCTATGTGAAATACATTTTCAAAAATATGGGTGCGCGTATAATCAAATAAGGGATATAGGCGCACTTGCACTCCATAAGCCCAGTGGGCCAAATAAAGGGATGCGCCTATATCGGGGGGATTACGGTAGTACATCAGTGCACCCATAGCCCCCCAGCAGGGCCTCATATTCGTTTTGGGGCACGCTGATCGCTCAAGGTCCCCCCCTCGTAGCTCCCTGTTTTTTCAGGCCTCGCAAAAAAAATTACGCTGATCAATCAAGGTTTTGTATAGATTTTGAGCTGAATAAACATGGTCAACTACAGAAATCACATTGTTAAAAACCCGACGGCAAAATAGTAGAGGGGGGTCCCTCTTGATTGTTGAGTGGGTGAAAAAAAGTCCCAAAACCTTGCGAACAAACGAAACGTCCCAGTGCCCCGAAATTTGTAACTGCCCGAAAACAAAAGTGGATTGCACAAATCCTATTGGTTGTGTGAGAGTATTAGCCAATATGGGCTCGAGGCGAAAAAATATTGACTGCCTGGCGCATCATGCAACCCTTCTGCGACGTTTGTCACACGCCACGTGGGCCTCAAGAGGGACCCCCCTCTGCTATTCCTGTTTTTCATACATTCCCTGGGCGAAAATCAAGTGGGGCCCCACTTGATGACCAAGTGGGGCCCATATTGACGTGGCAAAATCGCGTGCCACGTCATGCAGCCCACAATGAGCAACGCGAAACAAAATTCGTACGGTACTGTGTCGCGTCAAATATGCCACCTGGGTTTGTTCTGAGTATCGAACAGTGCAGGCTGCTGCCTAGCTCCGAATAAAAGAAAGGCACCTCGACAAACAAGGGGTGCTGATCAACAGGGGTCCCAACTTGATAACCGCCCTGATATTTTGCCGTCGGGTTCCTGAATACATGCCCAGTATTTGTCACTGGTTCCTGATTACAGTCTTGGTCTTTCACAGTCAAGTTGGCGTGATTGATAGGGAGGGTGAGGGGGAAATTCGGAAATAACGGGTAACCCCAGCGGGTCTCTCGACACCCCCCCTCGCTGGGATAGGCAGACGACACGAGTGCCTCTGCAGCGCTAGCACTGGGAATTGAACCCAAGTCACCAATGCTCTGATACCATGTCAAAACTCAGCCACTAAGCACTGAGTTAAAAGGGCTTGTTAGTAGCGGGTCAAGGTAACCCCAGTTGGTCTCTCGATACTAAGTATAACAAATTGTGACGTCCCGGGACGTCACAGGAAGGTACGG